GCTTTTTGCTCTTTGATGTTCTGAGCACCCAGTGCGTGCGGCACATACTGTATTGAGATGACGCTGAGCAGTCAAGACAGGCTCTGCTCAGCCTCATTACGTTCTTACCCCGAGGTTTCCCCCATCATGACACACTTCTGCTGCAAAACACTGAGCTGCCTCTGAGGCAGATCCCAGATTGAACGTAACCGTGGCTTAGCAAGGTCCTCTTTATGTGATAAATAGTTGTCTGAAATATCTGTTTGTGTGTGATTATTTATTGTCTCTCTACTGTCATAATGACAAATGCATTTTTACAGATCATCTATTGAGCTTCCTCTCCTTACAGTAACCTGAAGGGGTTTTTGTCGGCAAGATGTAAAAACTGTGTGTTTTAATTGTGTATCGTACACAACGCTGCTATGGGTTGAAGTTCAGATGTAACTCATGCTACTTGTCGCCAGTCTGCTTGCCTTTTTTTTTTCTCGCGGCGTTGCAGATATCGACAAATTACACATACACGTCAAACACATCTAGATGTAATGCCCAGCATTATATTTAGATGTAAAGCGAAGGAGAATAACTGATCACTGTCACAGGCTCAGAGGGTGGTGGCGGGGTTTCCGTCATGCCGCTCGCTGATGTCTCTGTCCTCAGTGATTCGGTCATGGAGTCTTTCTGATCTTTATCCACCATGACTTTGTTGACATTTTCTGGGATTCAGCTGGGAGATTTGATGCCGACTTTGCGGTCTAATTAGGTCAGTCTCACCGATTTGTTCTCTTGCTTTGTCCTGACCTTTCTCTCTCTGCGCCTTGCTATCCCAGCCGCTCAGACCCGGAGCAGGCTATGGCACCTACCAATACTTCCAAGTTTGATCGTGCTGATGTGGATTTTGCCACCGTTGGTTCAAACTGATATTTGTTAATATCTCATGGATAAAAAAACTACATCTCCCCTCGAGGTCAAACTAGCCAAACGAGGATTTCTGTCAATCAAAACAGGGCTTCTCATTGCAATGCAGTACAAGACATACATTTTGAAGGTAATGAGTAGTTCACAAGAACATTGAGACATGAAAACTGCAAGTCTCTGATCTAAATACTCAAAACCAGCTCTACTGTAGCTTGTTTTGTAATGCTTTTCTTTACATTATTCATTGACTAAACTTAAACAGTTTCAGTGTCCACTTTATTCATATTGACGTAAAGTCCCCCCCACCCCACCCACTCACTCACACACACACACACATACATACCCACTCACACAATGCTGTATACAGACCTGGCAGCCTGTGGTCCACAGTGTGTGTGTTTAATCTTTCCCCTGGCGCCACTTCCTAACTGAGAGCATTCCTGGCACCCAGAGGCTCAGAGGGGTCGAACTCTGGGCCGAAAAAAGTGTCACACTTCAGAGCTGGCACCTTGACTCGCTACCAAAAAAGCATCTCTCTTTTTCTCCGTCTTGGCCCAAAGAGGCACCGCTTACCCCTCAGTTGCTTGAGCGCCGGATACTTCCGTGGAGAATGACCCCTTTGAAGGATGGTCTGGTTCCTTTGAGAGGAGATTCTCCTCGCGCTCAGTTTCCCAGCGCTGAGTCTACCTCTGGAACTCTGCCTGAACTCACATCCAAGAATGCGAATTGGCAGAGGGCGTAATTAAGGCAATGTCTGTCCATACACATGGCCTAACCTTTAAAAGCCCCAGCTCATTGAGAGCGCTGTTTTTCTGGCGACTGTTTCTGCAAAGTATCAATTTCTGGGTGAAATGAATAAGTCAACAGATTAACCGGCTGACACAGAAAACTATTTATTTGTATTTTTGCCTTTATAATTAAAATGTTTTGCAACTTAACACACACTTCTGTGCTCCGCTGCACAGAAGTCCTGTTTGTCTGGCTCGATGTGTGTTAGGAAGACATGTTTTTATCTGTGAATCACATGGTTGACATAGCGTTTACGGCATTTTCCGTCAGGATATGAGTGCTAACCTCCTCTGCTCTGACAACCAGAGCTACGTACACCTATTAAATGTATAGTGGTTCATACAAATGCTATGCAGTGAATTCTGCAGTTTCCCTTTCACTTCACAGAATTGATGGCTTTGTAATATATTTTCTCTAAGAGCACCCAAGAGGTTAATCCACAGCAATGTGGTGGTGGTGGCTACCCAACGTTTCCTTTTACTGTTAAGCTTAGAAACACAATAGTGTCCACAACACCATCAATGAGATGCTAAAAATACATATGGGAAGCCTGAAAAAGTACTCTTTAATACTAGTAATTTTTCATCTTTGGAAAAGCGACACGCAGCAGTAAGTCATCCATCAAGTCTGACAACTCCTGACAGACCCACAACTGTCCCGAGGTAGCATTAAGCTGTAAACATTCACTTTATTTTCACTCCTAACAAAACGCCCACTAACTTGGCCTTTGAGAGTGACAAGATTGTGTTTGATGGACATTCGTGCATTCACAACATGATTCTGCAGAATTTTGAGACATGAATGGTTACAGCCCACGGTAATTTCCTATCCGTGTGTTCTAGTCTGGGGAACAAGCAGGAACAAGTCTTATTTTTTCTTTCACAGAGCTCTACTGTAGCTCACAGAGCACCAAGAATAGATATGCTGCTCCTGGCAGAAGGAAAGGGTGGATACTGAGGCCTTAATGAAATGTCTGTGACATGCTTCAGTCAGAATTACACACAGACAGTGACTCCGTTTTTGTCAAATTACTTACATCTCTTCTAAATTGGGTCATTTGGGGGCATGCAATGTATGATGCAACCCCTCTCATCCCCAGGGTCCGCCTCCATTGAGAGCCTATGTACCGTCCTTTGAGACATTATTACAGTTTAGAGAGCATATAGTAAATAGCTTTAGACCAGACATCAGACTGATTGTATCCTACATTGCATCCCAGATAACTGCCATACGGTCTTTGAATGCTAGATAGGCCAAGTTGTTATCATTTTTTGCCCGGTTAGTTACTACTACTGTGAGCTGGCGTCACATTTTCTAACTTGCATATCTGCTCCATAAACTTTGGACTTCACTGTTACATATATTTGTTGTTATATTTGTATATCGAAACAAGACCGAACAAGTAGTTTAAAGACACCACTTTTCATTGCATAAACCACAAGCTCTCACGCATTACCCTTTAAAGTGTTAGGAATTTGTTCACAATCAAACTGGAAGGAAAATAAGCATGAAAGCTGAACTGTCTCTGGGTGTTCTCACTGTGTTGCCCCCCTCTCTTAAATGTATGTGTCTCTCCGTGTACACAGGTGTGTGTATTGTGTGTATGTGTTTACAGTAAAGTGTGATTTAGAGGTGCGACCCAGCTTTGATTTTTTTTTTTCCTCCCCATTTCCTCTACTCGGGCCCGTATTATTACTGTGCTGGAATCGCTTGACTGAAAGCTGGGGGATTAAAGCCGTGTCAAACATGCTTCTCTATCTCATTTCCTCTACGACCACCCCTCCTTTTCCTCCCCCTCCCTTGGCACTCTGTGTTTAAACTTGCCCGCTGCCAAATCGGGGATCTGGTAACTTTGGAAAGTGCTGTTTGTGTGAATTTAAGTTCACAGGTTTTGTTCTGTGGCCAGCATCCAAATGCCCGAGACAAAGCAGCTCATTGATTATTTTGGAGAGAGAGGTTGAGGCTCGTTTTTATGACACATTTGATTTGATTAAGGCCCATTCACTGTTTGCTCTAGAGGCTCCAGCAGCTTGCAGGCCAAATGGATGGAGAAAAAGGTCATGGCCGTGACCTCAAAGCATATGTAACTACTGAAAACTAATTTATTGAAGCTCCTGTAAGTGAAGCAATGGACATAATAGTACAGTAATTCTTTTAGTGTCAAACTATTGTTCAGCAACTGCCACACAGGCTTATTTCAGTTATACCTATTTTGGCACCAGAAGCGTGTATCTGAATGTGATTGAGTTCATCTGCATAATAAGTTTTTCTCACTGAATCCTACTTTTGATGTCAACTTTTAAACCTTCAACATGCATTTCTGCAAGTCACGGATAACAACCCATAAAGACAGAATAAAGTACAACATAAACGAAACACATGCTTTAGATTTTAGTCAGATGTCACATGTATGGTTTCAGTTTAGTTCCGCTGTGTGCAGGGTTTTAGACCTGAATGATCCCGGTTCAGTTGCGAGTTTGTCTCAACATGTTTCTGTCAGCTGAATGTAGAACAATCATATTCGAAACAATAGCGTTTCAGCTTGTTTGCAACATACATTACACTGTTCCGACAAAGCCATTACGACCATTTTCAACATTATTTTACCCCTCAATGAGCAGTGTGCTTTTTGGTTCCCATTAGAGATGCTCATCTGAGTCTACTGGCTCATAAGTAGGTTTATTTAGTTTAGAATGTGATTACAGAGAAAGAGGATGGGAGAAGAGTCATCCTTAGCCTAGGCTGTGGCGGGTAGGCCATATGGGGCCTAACAAGATTAAATCCATCTTTTTTTTTTCTTTCGCCAGTCTCCTTTTAAAGTCACATGTGAACTCTAAAGGCCTTTAAAAAGCAAATTAATGTTTTGTTCTTACTGTAAAGTAGCAGACTGGAAAACACTGGATGTCTGCAGCCAAATAATTGAAGGTATGGAGGACAAGACCGTGATCTGGTATAGAAACAAGGGATTTGCCGAGCTGGGAAATGGGACTTAAGGCTTTCACCATGGCATGTATAATAAAGCAGCATCTCTGCTTCCGGACAAAGAAAGCAAAGATGAGCTGTGAATACAGGCGTGAAATTGCTGATTAGAGAGTTGGACTGTACTGAAAGAAAGGCGTACACTTGTTCGCTCTTGACACTCATCTGTGATCCGTTCTGGCACAGAAATTGAAAAAACACTCATTTGAGCCAAGAAAACAAGGAGGGTGTTATCATTATATTCTTTAAAGTGTCATGTGTCATCACTCCTTTGAAAAGTGAGGCCCACCGACCCCAGTGTCACGGCAGCTGCTGCATAAATCCTCCTCCGTATAGAGCATAGCTGTCTCTGTGCTGCTGCCACAGCTGCTCACTTTCTATACGCTCACGTATGTATATGACCTAGATAGTCAAAGACGAAATCATAAACAAAGTTTCCACTGGTCCTGTTTTAATCTTCTCTATCTCCTATCTGTTTCAGATGGCATCCACTCTGTGTCGGCGCAATGCCTTCTCCAAGTGACCATCATCACAGATGAGATGCTGTCCAACAGTATCACGCTGCGTCTGGCCAACACCTCCCAGGAGCACTTCCTGTCCCTGCTGCTCGCCCAGTTCCTGGATGGCGTGGCGCGGGTCCTGTCCGCCGCCCCGGAAGACGTGGTCATCTTCAACATCCAGGACGACACCGACGTCAGCGCCCGCATCCTCAACGTCAGCCTATCCGTGGCCGTGCCGGCGTTCGGGGAGGGCCACCAGCGCCCCGGTGGGCCGGGAAGCGATAGGCCGGGGGCTAGGCCTGAGGCCGGAGAGTTCTTCGGCTCAGAGGAGCTTCAGGAGAGGCTGTACTTGAACCGCAGCCTCCTGGCTCAGATCTCCTCCCAGGAGGTCCTCCCGTTTGACGACAACATCTGCCTGCGGGAGCCTTGTGAGAACTACATGAAGTGTGTGTCGGTGCTGAAGTTTGACAGTTTGGCGCCGTTTGTTGCGTCCGATACCATACTCTTTCGACCCATCCACCCCATTGCCGGGCTGCGCTGCCGCTGTCCCACCGGCTTCACTGGAGACTACTGCGAGACGGAGATAGACCTCTGCTTCTCTACACCGTGTGGAGCCCACGGGCTCTGCCGCAGCAGGGAGGGAGGCTTCACCTGCGAGTGCTTTGAGGATTACACAGGTGGGAGCTCTCACTTATTATTGTATATTTGGTATCAGAGCTTTATTGGCCAATTCCTGAATCTATAGTACTGGGTTGTGTGGTGTTTAATTCGTAAGTTATGGCAGTAATGACACAGGTACAGTTAAATTCAATCCTTCTTTACTGGCTGGTGTTTTGCGAACTTGTTGGATATCGTACACTGTGTAGGGTGAAAGCAAACAGTCACAGACTTTCATTTGACATAGAAGAGTCTGTCTTCAAGTGTCTGGTCAAAGGCAAAAGAGTTCATTTTCTGCTGCCTCCCAAATGTTAATTTCTCCTCTTTTAAGGATCCCGTGGGGGCTTTAATGTCTGCATCTGTCCCAATGGCCTCCTCCTCCTCAGCTTCGTATTGAATCTGGATCTTTATAGACACAGAATGTCCACTACACTAATGAGCGGCTCTGCAGAAGAGGGCTGAGTGATGAGTTATTGATTTGATTTATCCTTGCAGCAGTAAGCCACAGCAGAAGTATGACCCAGTAAACTCAGAGTACCTATATGTAGAGTCTCTTTAATTAGGTTGCCTTAACATAGGACGGATGCATCAATTAACTGAGTTTGTTTTTTTATCTACTTTAGGCTCATACACCTAATCATGATCAAATAATACATTTTCATTCGTGAAAACATATTCAATCTTCATTTTTGAGCAAATTATTGTTTTAACCGCTTGATTATTCCCACACACACTTAAAGTTCCTCTCAAGCTGGAGGAGCCGATCGGGTTTCACAGAGAGAGCTGAGACATTAGAGCTGTGTCCATGCTCAGTCCCTGTTTGAGGCTTGTGACTTTGAGAAACAGCTAAGAGAATACTCTGTTCAGAGTAGTGTCACTGAGTAGAAATAAGGAAATGATTTATTTTGGATGGTTATAGATGGGATGTGTGCCCTGGATGGGAAAAGCCCCTTGGTACAAAAAAAGAAAACCTAGATGGAAAAGTACATCACAAAGCACACGGCTCATCAAGACAGAGGTAGACCAACTTTTTAAGTGATGACGATGATTTAAAATTGCAAATCCGTTGCAGGAATTGCTATTTATTCATTGCTCCAGAAATTATTCACATCTTCAAACGGTTAAAGGCCATCAGCACTGGGTTTATGGTTAAAGGAAAGACTGAGACGTTGAAAACGGAAAAGAGAGCTAAGTTATGTTAATTTATACTGTACGCATATTAGAGTGATTACACACATCTTTTTGTTAGAGGTTAAGTAGGTCAAACCCTGAGTTTTAATGAGATTTAGAGTTTCATCTTGTCTTTGAAGTTAACTGAACTTTTGATCAATGAATGACTACTATCAATGACTCCAGTCATTCGCCACCGTATTTAAGGGATCTTTCTCTTAATTTGATATTAGTCTTGTATGTTCCCACAGTGTGTTTTCACAAACAGGATATTTCAGTGTCTATGGAGTTACACCTACCTTTCTCAGTCACAGTTTCAGATTTGTGTTGATATCTGACCAAAGAAACAGAAAACCGTGAAAGGAGTTACTGATCATTTCACTGTGTATATATATATATATATATACATACACATGTGTGAATGCAGGTAATATGACAGAAATAATCAGCTTCAGCTTCAAATGTACTTGATTTAACGCTAACCACCAAACAGCCGCTTTAACAGAGTGGTTATCACTCCGTACACGCACAGTTGAGTTGAGCTATGGTTAGAGTTTGACCTGAGCATCTAAATGGACGAGTGTCGACTATGGATTCACAGCAGTTCCCTCATCAGTTCTTCATTTCCACCTTTCAGTGGGCGGGTATTGCTCTTTTTCACCCATTTGTGGATTGACTTGCCTTTGTTCTTCTTCTTTTATTAGGCCTATTGGGGCTTGAAATATTACAAATGATGATTACTAAAGACTCATAAGGCTGTATTTGTTGAAAATGCATTTTTTGATATCTCATGAGTGATTCATTTAAAAACACAACCGTTTTACGGTGAAGTGCACATGTCCTGAGGTGTCACACTTTGAGCAAGAAAAACAATCAAACTGCAGGAAACACGCCCAGTGACGATGAACTTTGCTCTCCCCTCTCTGTTATCTAAAATATGATAACTTATACAACTGATTTGGATTGCTACCCAAAAAGGCTCCAGGTTAAATCTATGAGGCAAAACTGCAGAAAATGCCACTCTTTTCTCTGTACTTTCAAACTGACATTGTTTCCATTGAACCTGATAAACCAAAGTTTTTCTCCCCCATTCACGGAGCTATTTATAACGGCTCAAACAGCACTGGCTTTTGAGAGAGCAGGCTCAGTCACTCAGAGTCTAGGTTGAGTGGCACTTACATATTCTTGCACTGTTGTGGGTGTTGGAGCTGGACTGCAGGTGCTTTTAACATGAATCAGCAGCAACGGAGAAGGAAAGTAAGAGTGGGTGTATTTATCACCCACAGTTTGCAAAATGAATTCACATCTAAAGTTAGGTTTAGACCTGGGAGCTGTGAGACCTAGTTTGGAGATCTCGCAGAATAATTTGACAGTTCCTCAAACATTGATTGATAAATTCTGTCAGATGGTCTTATCAAACAAGGCTGATTTTATCTGATGTGCATTCCTGTGATCTAAAACTACCACCGTTTTTCTCTCACGAGAAATGACATGACATTGTCAGCCTGCACCCCTGATGGAACTCAGTGTGTGTGATTGCTAAAATGATCACTCTTTCTGTTTCTGGTGGGTGGTTAAGTGCCAAACAGTGGAGTGCGTGTGTGTGTGTGCGTGTATATAAATATATATATATGAAACAGTATATATTATACAGTATATAGGCCATACACATTGCCAGATGGTTAGAGGGCTGGAGGGAAAATGCGAGATGTAGGATTGATTTAGTTCAGCTGAGTCACTCTGTAGATGCTGAACAACAATGTTGTCTTGCTCTGTTTTTGTACATATTCATCTTAACAGGAAGGATAGGGAGAGATGCTCAGGTTTTCAAACACACTTGATTTCAATTGCACGCAGTCTTTCATCTATTAATGAATTTGATGATGGCTCTTGTGCTAACTGCTCTCATCCATCTCCACGTCACCAGAGCATGTGTTCCTTCTCTATTTGTGCTGTCGATGCATTTTGTGAATTTTAATGTGCACGTATAGTTTTGGAACAAAAAAACAAAGTTCACACCCCCGTTTCAACCAACCCATCTCAGTGTCTGATGTGAATACTTGCCAGACTCTAAAAGCCTCCACAATTTTCTGCCGAGAGATGGCATGAATAAAAAATGTTGCCTCGCACATGTACTGTTTTAAAATCAGAGCATTTGCATATTTCAAAGATACGACTACCTCAGTTTTGTTTGTCGGCATCATACATGTCTCAAAGCTAAATCTGATGCTGGTTTTCAAAAAGACAGCGATGCTCTGTTTAAGGTCGTGAAGCAACAATTTGTCCCTCTTTTCATGGCAGATGAATGACAGTCCGAAAACTAAGGCTCAATCTTATTAACCCCCCGGGATTAAATTTTCATAGAGCCGAGACAAGCAGCCAACGCTGCTGAGTCAGTGAGACTGTCCTCCCAAATGCCTCCAAACAAAAAGAGTCCATGACTCCTTTTTGTCCTCAGAGTGACTGCATGTTTAAGTCTCCAAATGGCTTCATGTTGGTTACAATGGTGTTGTGACGTTGATGGATTTGACCTCTAACTACAACGCCTAAGCTCATCAGGAAGTTCCCAAAATTGGGGGGGGGGGGGGTTAACAGGGGATTCTGTGCTTCTGTTTCGGGTTTTATGTTAAAACCAGGCAGAAAATGGAATAAACCACAGTTTTAGGAAAAAAATGGGGATAGCTCGCTTTTTTTTAAATAAAATTGTGGCACAGTAGGAAAAAAGAGCCTTATATTCATTAACGTATCCAGGGACTGTTTTTAGCGTTTTAAGGTTTTCTTTTTGCAGAGTTTCATGCCTTTGTTGAGCTTTTTTCCGCCCATTGTCTCTGTGTTGGCCCTGTGATGGACGGATGACCCATCCCGTTTGTGTCTGGCATCTTGCCCGGTGGCAGATCGGCCTCTGTCCTTCCACAACCTTGGCCAGGATAAAACTGTTACAGACAGTAAATGAGTGAATGAATGACTAAATGCTTTTATCCTTAGTTAGAGCGGAGGGAGCATGTATGAAGCTCACGCAGGCAACTAAGGACGCCGGCTGTTCTCATCAACGTTCGTGTGAAACGTCCATTGTTCCAGATCAATTCCTGAGTCTGCAAATCCATTTAAATTTGGTATATCTGAACTTGGCTGTCTCGGGATATGGGTGCCTGTACTGTCCGCCCCTCAAAGTCACACGTCAGTTTTTGCTGTTGTATCAGCTGTGTGGAATGTGAGAAGGCTGGATTACTGATACAGTTGGGGGCCCATATCTGCTACTTATTGATCTGACTTCAATATCCACCTTCATAATCCTGAGTGATTCTTCAGCCGGACCTACCTCACTGACCTCTTTCCTCCTACTGAAAATGGACCAAACTGTTTTTGTGGAAGCGGTGCACAGCTGTAAAACAGTCATAAGCTTTATATGTATTGGCAATATTTTTGTCAACTTTTTTTCAATTTGTTTTTTAAAATTCGCCTGCATTTTACTTCTGTTGAAATGAAGTCATATGTAGAAGCAGCTATTTTGTTTATATTCAAATTCAATGAGTATCTGCGGCAGTGGGAGGCTTAAATGTCAACTGTCTGTAGTCATCATGTTTGGGGCCTTATATGATTATCTTGGCACCACATTGTTTCATTTGTGTCTCCTAGTATGAATACACAAAAGGATTGATTTATGAGGAGGGAAAAACATGCCACAACTTGATTGTACAAATGCATCTGGCAGAAAAGCAGAGTAAAATCTAAGTGTGTGGGCAGAGGTGTAAACATCTGCATCTATATCACAGGGGGCTTGTAGGTATGGTATTACATTGTGTCAAATGGTGTTTATTTGTTAAAATGTATATATTTCTTAATCCTCTGTTTGATTACTAGAAGAAATGCTCACCTGATAGTTCAGTCTGTATAATGTTAGTAGAGGCACAGCCAAGCACAGTGCACAAACTAAAGTGCACAGTGTTTTGTCTCATCTAAATAGAAGCAGGATATCTGAGGTGTCTGTGCAATTTGCTGCTTAATGATTCATGCAGGCAGCAAACAGAGAGCGTGCTTACCTATAGGGGAGCGTAAATAGAGCAGACAAGGCGTGTTTGAATTATTGATCGATTCATTCTGTGGAATTGTGACCATGGGCCTGTCTCCTTGTCGATGTGCTGCTCACCTGGCTGGCATTTGGCGCACCTGTGGTGAGGGCACCCCTCAGGGAGCCAGTGACCACCCAGAGATATCATCCGGGTAGAAGTGAGGAAATCAATACGCTGTCTTGTAAATATGTTTTTCCACAGTGAATCATCCCAAAGCGGCTGTGACTTTCTGTAGTGCTCCTCTGTGTGCTGGTACTGTTTATCCATCCTGACGGCCTAAAGAAACACGACTGCTGTATAGCCTCCAGGAAGCTGTTGAATTAATAACAAGGCACACGACACTATAAGAGAAAGGCTTTATTTTACAGCCATGTGGCCAGCTAGTCAGCCTCTAGCTACAGGGTGACAGCATGGAGCAGATTCAGTTTTGAACAGGAAAACCGTTTGCCTAAATTTCATAACTGTTCAAAGCCCTTAGAGGAGGTTTTGTCACAGTTTCTAGGTAATAAAAAGTATGGTATTATAATTTATCAGATAAAATAAATAACACTAAATTAGTTCTCCTTTCATCCTCAATTGATCATGTCTTGCTTGCTTTCAGTAATCACTTAGACCCTCTAAAGGAGCCTGTTAGAATGAGGAAATCACTCGACCAGACTATGGATTATAGCTGCAATAGTTAATCTGCAAAACATTTTTAGAAATGATTAGAACCATTGAAAGCTTAGCAGTTCAGTTCTTGAAGTAAATTGGTACAACCTTCACTTTTTCGACTACTCCTGGCTTCTAATCCTTAGACGATTCATTTTCTCACCACCTTTTTTCATAACGTAGCAGAAAATAAAAAGCTTATACTTAAACCGAAGGCCACAGCCCTGATGAAATTTTACTATACTGAAACTTATGCTCACAAATAGACCTAAATATCTGCATTAAAGACGCTTTTATCTTCGTGTCATTTGTACATTGCTAAAAAAAACAGCTTAATTGTTTTTACTTTGACTGAATAAATGTTCCCTAACAACAGCAATGAGAAAAAAGAGGCTTTCTCTCAGCAGACTGTGAATGGAGTGATTGATAGTCAGAGAGTAAATAAAAGGCCTGTGTATCAGTGCTGCTGGGTGAAGATGTGGGCTGTGTGTGTTACAGTAGTGCTGCGGAAGTCTTCCACACTGTTGACTGGGTGGCTTTGACACAAATTCCTGCTCATGCATGAGAGAGCGAGCAGTTTTGCCTCAGCAACTGCTGCAGCCTCCCATCCCCACGATCCAGACAAACGGCACATGTGTAAGGGGCTGCAGGGCCGAGGAGGAAGAAGAGGACGAGGAGGACGAGGGCTCAGGGTTGCAGTGTTCTGTCGGTCGACCTGCTGCGCTCCTCATTGAAGTTACCGTCGTTTTGCTGGCCCAGTGTGTCTTCCGTCTCACAGGTCAGGGCTACTGGTGATGATGAGACTACATCACTTTAGTAGTTGACTCTTGTAAAGACTATTCCCAGATGTGCTCATCACAAAAAGGAAACTACACGTCCATATGCCGACTACTTCTTTTTCTTTTTCTTTTAAGCAAAGGGAAAAAAAAGACATATCAACAATGAGATAGTTTAGTAAATTCTTTTTCAAAGCTGGGCATAACCTTACATTGGTCAGCAATTGAGGGGAGTTATTTTAGAGATTGTTTTTTCTGTTTCAATATCTTTTTTAGTTGCAGTTGTGGGAAAGTGTAGCTCTATACCAGTGATGGTGATAATGCTAATCTTAAAAACTAAAAATCATACTACTCTTAATACATTCATAAGAGACGTGTGACATGATTTGATCTCAGCTGATAAAATCAAAATACCCCTGGAGTGGATGTTGATCATTTTTGGTCACCACTGATTCTTTAACAAGTATGTATGTTGAGTAATACTTGGTTTCCAAAAGGGAGAAATGAGATGAATCGGTCTGATTTAAATGTTTTTGAATATTTTTTAACTGACCACATTATTATCATGAATGCTTTTGGCAGCATGTGGGGCAGTATTTTATATGCAGTCAGCACACCAACCCAGCCAGCTTTTTTTATTTTCTTGTAGTATAAAGATGAAGTCACCAAGTTTTGATGAGGTGTGAAAAAGCCCAGAGAAATCATCATGAGCCACAGCAGTCATTTCAGAGTCTGAATGCACAGACTCTTCCAGCTCACTGCTTTTAAGCTGTGATGTTGTATCGTTGAATACGAATTGAGCACAAACTGCAGCCTTGCTCCCAGAGGACGGGGACAGAGTTATGCTGGGTGTGACACAGAGCCCAGACACGGCTTCCAACTGCAGACGACATAAGATTCTCTCCGTAACGTAAACTGAAAAATCCTTTGATACACAAACTTGTCAACAATTTCTTGATTCATTTACAAAATGGTTCTGAATATATGAAGCAGTTTCTTTGTGTCACATACATGAGAGACAGCATTACACTCTATAGATGCACATATGGCTCAGCTGCAGTGCCAAATAAAAAATAAAAAAAGCAATGTGGCGTCCCAGATGGTTTGACTGAGGTGGTGCTTCTTGTCAGTGCCCGTATCGATCTTCATTTCTCTCCTGTTTCCTCCCTCTCCAGGAGAACGCTGTGAGCTGTCCTCCCGCTCGGGCCGCTGTGCGGCCGGCGTCTGCAAAAACGGAGGCTCCTGCGTGAACCTGCTGGTCGGTGGCTTCAAGTGCGAGTGTCCGGCGGGTGGCTACGAGAAGCCCTTCTGCGAGATGACCACTCGAAACTTCCCCCCCAACTCCTTCCTCACCTTCAAGGGTCTCCGCCAGCGCTTTCACTTCACCCTCTCTCTTACGTAAGCACCTCCACCTCTCCGTAACTCGGATCCCCTGTCCTGCTTCATCACCCTTCACTGGGTTTCACACTTCCTCCACCCCCACACCGTTCCTCAGTATGCCATCGCTTCCACCATTGTGGGCTCACATTTATGTAACCGTGCTGGCTTTTAATGCACGTAGCAATTATAGGATGGCTGAACGACTGCCATCTTCAGTAGAGCCACTTTAGAAAAAGAGTAAAGCACCTGTGCTGTGAATCCAGTGCCACTGGAGGACGTGGTGGATAGGTGCAGATTTCGCAGAGGTGTAGCCAATAAAGCCAATGTTAGAGGGAGGAGGGGGTGTTGAGGATGAGTTTTTTTTTTTTTTTTTTTGGTAGGAGGCTCTTGCACCATGTGGTTGTTGATCTCAAAGAGTCATATCTTATTACTGTCACTGTGCCAGTAGTCACTTTGAAAGTTTGTGTCAGTGCTTGGCCTATTTCAGCACACTCTTCCTCACCAAGGTGATGAGAAGCTGTGTGCACGTCAGTACTGTTGCCATTTCTTGGAGAATGTATTCCTTTTTATTTCAGATTCAGGTTTACTTACAACATTAGTTTATCCCCAAATATTCAGTAATTATTTGCAGAAAACTGTTGATTTACGGTCGAAGGGAAGAAATTGTTACTTGGGATTATTTCTAGGTATGAAAACATTTATTATTATTATTTATGCTGTTGAATTTATTTTAAACCAGCAGTTTTCGGAAAAAAAGCTCTGAGTTCTGGCCTTATATTTGCCATATAAATAATGCACCTTGACAAACCAATGTCAAACTACTGAAATAATTATTATTAATGAAGACCTTTTGTTTTCATGTGTGTAAGCAGCATTCAGAGGAAGAGCCATCATTTATGAGGGCTGGAGGTGATGCCCGTTCCTATTATTAGTACTGTATAAAAATAGCAAACATTTCAGTCCAGGCTTTTTTTATACACAAAGCAAAAGGGAAAAAAGCTACAATGCCTTTGGGAATTCCTTTGTGTTCGTTTTTTCACATTACACACTTATGACAACACTTAGCCTAGCCATAGCTCTACTTTTCTACAGTGAATGTTACTGTAGTGTCATTAAATGCTTGGTTTTAAACTTTCTCTTTTTAACTTGAGATGAATGTTCGGCAAAGCTTTAAAGTAATTTCAGGTGTACCTGTGGTCATTTAGAGGTAGACCGTGACGGATTGAACGATTAGCTGTGGTTATTGAAAGTATGCAAAGGCCGCAGGGACTCCCATCTGTGTGATGAAACGAAATCACTCATAAAAGCTGTCTGTTCTGTTTGATATGTATCACAACAAGCAACAACAAGTATCATCTGTCAGATGCTATCACAGGGAATTTGCCCCAACATTTTGCCTCATGTATTGTGATTCCTGTCACCTTAGATGTGCACAGCAGTGGCTCTGGTGGTAATTATATCCCCTTTTCAAGCTTTATGGACTCGGCCCTTCTTCGAGTGAGGCTCGGATGACAGTCTCTCTTTTTTCTTTTTTTTTTGATGAACAACTGTTCAGACCAGTTTTGAAAGCAGGCTAGATTTCCCTGACAGCTCAGAGAGGCTGTGAAGTAGCTGCTGTGTATAAGGTGTCTACGCTGACAGCTTGAGGCAGGTGAGGTCAACCAGTGGCTCTGTCACCTGAGCCACGCAGATCCGGTTTCTTCAAGAAGCAGCGCTGTTATGATAAATGACTTAGGATGTTAGGTTGTTCACTCAGAGTGGTGACTTACTCTTGCTCAGGTTTAAGCCCTGGCAGAGGGACTTTTTTTGTTTCCTGTGTTTTTTCTTGGTGGCATAATTCCGGCCACACAGACTGAGATACCAGACACTCTGCAAAGGCAACCGTCCACTATCCCAATCCCACTCGCAGGGAAACGTTCCCACAGAATCGTAATGCATCACATTGTCTGACTTCATTTCCATTGGCCTCATGGAAATATTTGATTATGAGGTTCTGTTAACTCTGGATCCTGTCCAGACTTACCGCTGGAGTTTTTATTACTTTTTCCAGCACACTTTCCATAAATATAGCCCAGCTTGAGCTGGAAAATCAGATATTAGAGGCAAGTTGGTGATGTTTCCTGTTGTTTTGTTTTCATCCTTTACATACACCATCAACTGTTAGACATTATATGTACATGATCATCCAAAGAACAGCTGTCAGGGCACTTTTCCAACTTTTATTTATAAGAAATGTACTGCACTTCTCCACAACCAGCATTTGTCTGCCATGGAGGAATTTATGTTTACAATGGAGATGGAAAATGGCTTTAATCTATTTTAATGTGAGCGAAATATGGTTGTTGAAAATCTTAATGTGCAAACTCAGTGAATGCAAGATGCTTGGTCCGTATAATTCAACTAAGGCGATTATTTAAATGACAAAAATAAAATGAAATTATTCTGTTGCTAATTTTAACTTCCAACTAAGTGACAAACATGCCTCTGTTCTCCGATTCGCAAATATGGCGATTGTCTTAATGGTAAACGTAATCAATTAGAATTTTGATAAATACCAGCAATGAAAAATCCACATGCCTTTTATTCCCATGGTGACTGACATTTCAAGTAAAAAATAGTGCTATCATTTAGATGAGAACATAATGAGCATACTGATGGACGATCATTTCGAAATTGTCAGCTGCAGTCTTAATTTGGTCTGAACAGGACCAGATGGCAGAGCTGGACTGACAGTTAAGAGGTCTCTAAAGTCATTCATCTTATGCGTGTCCTTTAGGAAATATCAGCTCAATTTTCCTCCCGTCCTCGTTATTTGGATAGTTTTCTTGGAATTGTGTCCTAAAATATGACAGCTTGTTCCCGAATAGTGAACTGAGCTTCAGAAACGAAATAAGGACGATAATAGATTAGAATGTCACTTGAAGAAGGCGCATATGGATATGCAGCACTTTCCTTTAGGATTCAGTAAGTCTGTTATTTCTCACTTCTAGAGGATCTTTCTGTTTCCACCCCGGCGCACACATCATGAGCATTACAGCATGTTAGCATAGCGTGACATGGTCCCCCACATAAGGGCAGACTGGTTGTTATTTTTACTGATGGGTGCCTAATGTGACACGCAGTGATGCCAGTAAAGTCACTATTTAGTTCCGGCTGATTACCCTCATAGTTCAGAGGGCTGGAGGGGGGCAGCGTGGAGCATCCTTTTAAATCGATACGTCAAAGGCTGGAGGGCAGCTACGGAAGATTGTCCTTGGCGTTCTGTGCTTTTTGCCTCACGTGCAGACACAGCCAAACCGCCCTGCCTGTTCTCCCTCCACCATCATTATCTGCCGGGGCACTGGCATCCTCCTTTCTCAGAGGTCATGATGATGGTTTTTTCTTCAGTAAGCAGGTCAGTGTTACCATGCCCTCTGGCTGCTCTTCCTTCCTAGAATACTGCATTAACCCCATCATGTACAATATCCCATCAGACGCTGATGGATGGAAGAGAGGGGAGGTGAAGCTGCTCACAATGTCTGACAGAATTTATAGATATTTGGGTGTTTAAATGACATGTTTCTTAAAAGAAAGAGCTCACAGGGAGGCTGCAGCTCCATTTGAGCAAAAAAGAAAAGCCGCAGTAATCACAGCACATCAGAGAGTGACCTTTGTGGTGGAGAAATTGATTAGCTTTTCAGAGGAACCTGCATTGTAGGAGAGTGACTGACCAGAAAGTACAAAATCCCCAAAAAGGCGCTTGCACCTCTTAATAGGCCGCTGCTGGTTAGTATGGATTCTTCTTTACACAACCTCCACGTTAACAGATGCACGGCCACAGACAAAATTTGTTATTTCTGCTCACAGCGCACCTTAGAAAGAGTGAAGCGACTTGCTGCTCCTAGGTTTTAAACTGTGTTCAGATATGTTTAAAGGCACATTGATGTGCAAGCATCATCCAGTGCAATGGCTCCAGGCAGTCTGATAACACCATCATGAAAATCTGACTCTGAGCGGCTGTGTTTGGAACACCGGCAGCCGTCTACACAATCTTGCGTGAGAAAAAGTATTTTGAAGCTGTTTTTGTCATTGCTTTGTTCCGTATTACTTTTCACTCCCTCCATACTTGAAGTGCTGCCCCCTCCTCACCGCTGCTTTGACTTTGCCCTAGTTTTCATCTCCGTGTTGTAGTGTGACATTTAATATGGCTCTGCATCTATTCGTGGCACACATATTCCTTGATTGTGCTGAAAATTCCCTTTTTTTTAACCCTCTGACTCATGCTCCCCATAAACCTCATTTTGGGCTTAGTTGTTTTTACAAACCTCGGCTTTTTGATATTAAGGTATTTCTGTGAGATAGGCACACTCCAGTAAGGTGAAAGATGTTGGTAAATAGGTCAAAAGACATTACTGCTCCTTTTCTTTTCTCCAGCATGGCTGCCAGCATATGCTTTTTTCCACTGTGCATCAGTTGTTTTGCTGAAAGGCAGGAGTTGATCTATTTTTATATCTGTTGGCTAATTCCAAGCGACAGTCCTATTTATTTCAATTGAACTTTTTAAAAAACATCCTTACATGGTAGCTGACGTCATTTAATTCAATTTTTTCCCTTAAAGAAGAGATTGTGTCACAATTATCGAGAGGCTTTTTTTTTTCCCATTCTGAAACACAGATTTTCTGGGAAAACATTCACTGTGCATTTCAGATTCAGAATAAAGAAATGTGTATCCAAATTTTTTTATCTAAACTACCCATGGTGCTTAGTCTCTAGCTTTGCACTTTGTTGGCTGACCTTTCCTTTAATCTAAGCACTCTTTGTGCTTGCTTGAAGTGCATTCACAAATTGTAAAATGAGAACACATTCAATTTTGGACTTCACTGCTGTGTCGTGTTCATTGTTGTAAAATGAGCAAGCACAAAGCAACATTTTTCAGGAAGCAACAGAGCTGGGCTGCAGGCAGTCCAGTTTAAGAGACTAAATAAACACTTTAGTCTTAATAAAAACTTCAGTTGAATAGCTGTTGTATTGAGATGTACAAAATGTTTCAGAACTCTTTGAGTGGCTGCTGCTCATAGGAAAAGCAGTTGTTTTCCTACTACAAGGTTGGTAGTTTAACTCCTATCTTCCCCCATACACATGAGGAGGTGTCCTTGAGCAAATCACTGAACTCTGTGCTTGAAATGTTTTTGAAATTATTTTGTCTTACTTTGTCTTATTTTGTCTTACTTGATTCCAAGCATGCATTGGTCCTAACTTCTGTTTAAATTAAAAACGTGAAATAAATTTTAAAAAAAACTTTTTTTTTCAAGATTTGCAACCAAAGAATCTAGCGGTTTGTTGTTCTACAACGGCCGTTTCAACGAGAAACACGACTTCATTGCCATGGAAATCATCAGTGAACAAATACAGCTCACCTTCTCTGCAGGTACAACACTGTTTTATAAACATGGGTTTCCACTTTCCCCATTTTATCAGATTTAGACTTATTCAAAGTATTCTTCTGTGTTATTATTGCCTGCGACGCTCATTCCTCTCTTTGCTCTTCAGGAGAAACCAAAACAACAGTTTCTCCGTTCATCCTCGGAGGAGTCAGTGATGGCCAGTGGCACGTGGTGGAGGTTCACTACTACAACAAGGTGAGTGGAAGTGTTTTCATAAAGATGAGTTAAAGCCATTGTCAGTAGAGGAAATTCGCAAGGACAAAATGCTGAAATCAGTGTCACAATAATATTACAGAATTCTTAGGAATGTTGACAATAGACAGCTTTTTTATTCTTAATAAGACTATATAAGAAATACCTATTAAGATAATTCACTAATTATTGCTAATTTCTTAACATAAAATGAGAACCAGTCATGGCTGGAGGCTTAAACCAGTATTTATTATATGGACATCAAAGTTCTGGGACTTTTGAACCTATTCCAGTCATATTATGAATTGTCTCTCTCTTTATTGTTGTGCACGAGCTACCAGCTACCTTCAGACAAAATGAAATTTTACATGAACAAATCAGATTATTTCCCTCCACACTCTACTGTACACAAATGTGATTAAGAACTGCATCAAACAACTGATAAACCAGTTAAAGAGACATAAAGAGAGGAAAGTGTCTTAAGGTGTTGGATGTGTGTGTAAGCTGTGGCTGGATGATGTGAGGCTGTAGTCTCTGGTGTTTTCATCCTCTGCAGACGACAGTGTGTGGCTGCTGTTTTGTGCAGAGATAACTGGCAGCTGCCACTCTCTCCCTGTGCTCTTTAGAATATTCACAGGCGAGCGACTGTCGTGGGTGTAAACCAGCGTGCAGACAGCGAACAGGGAGCTGTGGAAGTTAGTTGTTCTGCTTTCTTAGTGCTGCTTTTTTTCAGAGGAAAGAATTGCTGCTGACAGGCTGATGGTCTGGAAGAGAGCCAACAAACCAAACAGATTCAGACTGAGGAAGAGACTCAGACAAGACAGAGAGGGGGGGGGGTGCATTGTTTTTCCAGACACGCTTTGATTGGGGGAAATATGTTTAACAGCTACATATCTCTGTAAGCACATCCCTACAGCTCAATCAGCTCAGGAATGTATGGAGCCCTTGTTGGACTTATGGAGCCCTCTTTTTCTACTTTCCCACCCAGGACCGACTCAAACACAGGATGTCACATTTTTGTCTATTGAGGAAGTCACTTTGCATCATAAAGATGTCGCTAGGCAACATCCTCTCCCCTGCTATGCCCATTTTCTATTCAGCTCGTATGATGACATGACCACGTCAGATTTTAGCCAGTAGAAGTGAAGAAGGGAGAGAATCTTGCCGAGTGTTGGATGAAAACTTGTTGACTCTTTGGCTGTGGACATTAAGGACTCATTAATCACATTGGTACAAAAAAGCCTAATCTAATGGTTCGCTGAGTCTTCTGTAGCTTCTTTAATCTGCCAATTTAGCAACAAGTGTGCCACATCTGACCGCCAGTGTGATTAAAAACAGTTTCAGGCTTCTATGAGAACAGGTGCAGCTCTCAGGAAACTCTCTCTCAGCTGTTTGGCAACATAATTGAGATAGTTATATGAGGCAAGGGAGCCAGATTTTCATCATAAGCAGCAGGAATTAATGATGTATCCTCTTTTAAATCTGTATGATCACACGGCAACTAGTCAGGCATATGCTTGGTTTGGTTCTTTTTAACTGCTGTGCTTCATTGTGTGTGTGTGTGTTTTACTTTGTCCTCTTCATTTACCTGAACAGCTGTAGATCATGATATTGTACAGTTGAAATCCCTCCTACTGGCAGCTGAGTCTGTGTTTTACTCGCCATCCTAAAAGTGGTTGGGCTTTCCTTCAGCTCCAGCCGAACTGTTCCCCGTCTTCCCCTCTGTGAGTCGCTGAGGTAGAAACATGCTCCTCCTTCTGAAGGTATCCCACGGTGGCCTACTCTGACCCGTCCCTGTCCGTAGGGGGTGGGGCAGGGTGAGTCAGGGAGGGGGCATTCCAGACTGAAATGTGGCTTTCAGGACGGTGGGGGACTGTGGAGAATGGCAATGACCGCTGCCTTTGTGTTTGGTTCTGCTTCCTTTGAGACCATGGGCAGTGAATGATGCGGCCCCGGGGAAGGTGCCCCTCTCCTTCTCTGTCCTCCAACAAGGACAGAAAAGCTGAGCAGGAGAGCGGCGAAAGGAGCGCAAAGAAAAGCCGAGAAGTATTGACTCGGGCTTGAACGGAGACGCCGCGCTTCAGGGCCAACCCCTCTAGTTGCTATGGTTTTTCGAGTCAATCTTAGGTCCCATATTTGTGCCGCTTGCCGCCATGCTCCCCCGTCACCCGTTTGACAGGGAACTCATATTCCCATAATCCCCTGTAGTGGCAGGCGAGAGCAGTGTTTAACGGGCAGCAGAGCAAATATGTGCTTTCCAGTCAGCTCTGACAGGACGGTGTTTTGTTCGGCCGAGAGACGTCCTGACAGACAGTCATTATTGGAGAGTCAACAGCCGTGACTGATGACAGCAGAGGTCAGTGAAAGGAGTGTCCAAGCTGGAGCGCTGCCTGGTCCAGAGCTTTCATGGCAAACCGAAGGAAGGAAAAGCGTGGAAAACAGCCATGTCGGATGATTTCACCTTTGGCAATTCACACGACATGTTTGCTTGTTTCATCATCAACAAATTTGTAACAAATTGGCCTCAAAGAGTTTAAGCTCCAAATCAAAAACCTCCCTCATCCTCTGTGTCTGTTTTTCAACATTTCAGCGCTGAGTGATGAAGAGTTTCTCAGCGTATTGTGGCTTCCTCTGGGAAAGGTGCTCAATAACAGGCGCTGCGCTGGTCCACACTATTAATTAAGCTTCTGTGAAAACATCGACCCCATTCTCAAGAAATGCACACAATAGCTTGATCTTATTTCAGCACATCTCTTCTCAAAGTGAGTCTGTAAGAATGGAAAAAAAGAGCCGGCGGCAGATTGGTCAGCAGAGTAATGAGGATGCTCATGATGTGTCTGGGAGCTGTTTGACTTCATTACATGATAGAACGCCCTGAGCATGCTCACTGACACTTCTCACCATTTATCCTCTCAGGTTTGAGAGGTTCTGCACTGTATGCAGTTCCCTGTGCGGCCAGCTTTTAGATTCACATCCTGGGAGTGCTGCTCTTTGTTGTGTTCCTCCGATTCCCTGTTTGACACTTTATAATTCACACCTATATGTAAAAAATGCACTGAAATGGTTAATTTGGTTAATGCAACCCTCTCAAAATAACCTAATGTTATGAGTATCCTACAAAAAACTATAAGAAATAAAGCATTGCTTTCAAAAAATAACTTAAAAAAGTAACTTCAGTTGGCATTTAGTTTTGGTATTTTTTCTTATTATGTCCAGTTCCTTATTGTCATTCAGTTATGAAATGGCATTATGACAGAAATCATTTAACATAAGTTGAGAAAAGGTTGAGAACATCCGAAATGTGCCAGAAGGTTAGAAAAATGCAAAAGGACAGGTTTTTGCTCGCATAGTATTTCATATTTGGATTTTAGAATATGGGTTCACTTGTTTTTTGTGTAAAAGGAATCACCCAGAACATCATCTGATGCTGTTTTCTCAACATGCATGGGGAAGATGTCTGTTTTTGTATGCTGGCAGGATTTTATGAGGTCTTAATGATGTGTCTGTGATATGCTTTGGTCACAATACTAATGGAAATGGAGAATAACGAACCCCCTTTTCAACTCTGAATTTGGCGCCCTTTTCAAAGCTGCCTGTTTTAGTGTGTGGGCCAAGGCAATTCACCCTCTATTCCATGAGATGTGCCTTTTTTAAGCCTTTTTAAGCTTTGTGCAAACATGCACGTAAATTTGGACTCAAATTACACTCATAACAATCCCCAATAACCTTGAATAACGTTATCATGTTACAGAACCTAGCTAAGGACAGTTATTAGACTGCAATTTGACTTTATTGTGCAATTTAACACATGGGTTACCACATTCACCAACTACACATTCAATCGTGTGCCCCCAGTGTCTCTGTTGAGAGCATGTTTTACAGGAGGACCCTGTATAAGATTGACTGGCATCCATTGTGACTCCTCCTTCATTCTTCCCTTTTTCGTGTGGCAGTAAAAAATGCAAATAAAAAATGTATGTGCAGTCTGGCATACTTCTAGAGCATGATGAATGTTGTTATCTGCAAAGTACTCTATAGTTAAATTTATTGAGGCATTTCTGTCTCCATGGCCATTGTACATCGGCACATCAGTAAATACGCAAGTACCACATGTTTTTTTTGTATGTTCCATTGTTGCTTTTTCCCTCTGAAGTGTCAAAATGTCACAGGCAGTCCTTCCTCTCCACTGCACCTCAGTGAGAAACCGACACGTGGGTCTCACCTCGTTTTGTGAAGTGTTTCGGGTGAGGTGTTGTAAGACGACAGATTATTCAGCCGTAGGGTTTAAGCTTCTATTATTGGCTCTATCCCATTCATATCACTAACACTGGGCACATTGCGATCACAAGACTGCAAGAATTCAAACAACCGCGGCGTCTCAGTTACAGATTGCATTACTGAAGGCTCACAGAGAATTAATGTAATCTGCCCAACGTGAAAATCATGTGACAGAAGTTGAATTCTGGCGGTGCCATGAGCTAAAATTATATCAGTCACTACAGAATTGCCTGAAGGTATGCTTGGTTTTAATAAACTTCCCTTGATGAAGCTGTTAACTGTATTGTATCAGCAAACAATATCTGAAGTCTGTCTCCGGCCGAGTGCCTTTTAAATGAAGGGATCAGACAGCATAGACAAAGAGAGTCATAACAGCAGAGCCATCAGGAAATGAGAATTCATCAGACTCAGGCAGATGTGCTGAAAAGATTTTTTAGTTTAATTCAACCTTAGAGGGAGCTAAATATCTTGTCAGTGAAATCCTACCTTCAGTTCTGGTTATCTCTGCTGGTGAGACAAGTTAATTCTGTGTAAATCCGGTCTGAGCAGCTGACCGCCCGGTGGCCCACCCAGGTCCAGCGATGGCAGCCGGTCAGCTGTGTGTGAGGGCGCTCACCTCATGGCATCAGCCTGAACTCACACTTGGGGTCAACATGAGCCCTACATGACCCCGGAGACTCTGGCCTGTGCGTAAAAAGGTCGCAACCTTTTATTGACAGGATCATCATTCTCCCCCCCGCAGGCCCCTCCTCCTTTTGTGCCTCCCCCTATTGATTTGTCAGACAATGAAGAAGATGCTTTGTCGTCAGGGGGGATGTCCTGTAGAGAGCAACCCCCTCTAGTGCGTTTACGTGTGTGTGTGTGTGTGTATTGGGGAGTGGTTTTAAACTGAGTGTGATGCAAAATGCCATTTATTTGACTGTTGTTTGGGTCATAAATCTGAGTCCAGTTCAGAATGGTTTTACCACACTTTCGTTGCATAAGGAGAGGAATAATTCAATTGTTTTTTTTACGACAACCCATCTCTGAGTCCTACATAAATGTGACCAAAAGCTACATGACATGATAAAAATAGCCGCATGGCCATTCTGTTATGCTGGAGCGCTCAAATAATTACTGTATTAAAGTGTTTTTTTCGTTGACCATGCACAGAAAAATCATTTCCGCTGAATTGCACAAGAAGCTTTAAAAAAAAAAAGATCTGTATCCTGTGTAAACCCTGGAAAGATGCTTCTGTTTTCATAATGATATTCATGAGTTGCTTCTTCCGCAGCCAATTCTAAACCAAGCCGGCTTGCCGCAGGGCCCCTCGGACCAGAAGGTTGTCGTAGTGACGGTGGATAACTGCGACACCTCGGTGGCGCTGAGGTTTGGTCACATGATCGGAAACTACACCTGCTCTGCCCAAGGCAGCCAGTCAGGATCCAAAAAGTAAGTCAAGATCAGCAAAAATGAAAGAAATGGGAGTTTAATTAATCTACCCAAGGTCAACAAATGCAGTGTTTTGTTTGTTATTTTGTCTGATATGAATTATGCCTGTTCCGGTAATTATCTCTGTACAAAGAGGTAAACCTCAGTTGAAATTAAGTTCCTAATCTCAGGGGAGGCAGAGATGAGAAACTGAGTTGGCTCTGTTTTCCCCCTCCCCTGTGTTATCCTGTTTCTGTTTTCGATTCGCTGGGGGGGGGGACTGCACAGCCTAACTTTCAGTAATGAATTTTACATGGGTATTTCCAAGCGTTAGTGTTCGTAATGAGTGTTTGGTAAATGCAGGAATGATTCCTGGTGCATATACGGGTTTTTCTGTCTCGTCAGATCTCTGGACCTGACCGGACCCCTGCTCCTCGGAGGAGTCCCTAAACTCCCCGAAGATTTTCCCGTTCGCAACCAGCAGTTTGTGGGATGCATGAAGAACCTGCGCATAGACAACCAGCACATAGACATGGCCAGCTTCATTGCAAACAATGGCACTCTGCCAGGTACCCTATGTTTTGCAGCCATGCGTAAATGAGTTTTAACTGTATATATTTCCATTAAAGATGTGATTACTGATAGGTAGTGAGAGAAATCAAGCAGAGGAAATAACACAGCATATAATCAGGACTACTGGAAGGTAGACTCAGAGGGCAATGATTGCTGTACCTTTGATGAATAGTTGATTGCCTTCTGACTCTTTTCTTCCTTGATGAAATAATGAGGTTGGATATATAAAACAGGTTATTCTTTTACTGTCCCGCCCTCCCAGGATGTTCTGCCAAGAGACACTTCTGCAACAACAATCCATGTTTGAACGGAGGTACCTGTGTGAACCTTTGGGGCTCCTTCAGCTGTGAGTGTCCACTTGGATTCGGAGGACAGAACTGTGAGAGAGGTAAATCAAAGATAAATGTGACAAAAAATGTCCTCCCTGTTAGTGACCAGCGATATTGTCGCTAAATGGAAAGCTGGGAGCCAGACTAATCGCTCGTGAAATACGGTTTTGGTGTGTGTCACGGTCTTCCCTTGTTCCACCTTATCTGCTGGATCTGCTGATTCTTGGTTTTAAGAGATGTGAGAAGAGAAAAAGTAAGCAAACTGAGACGTGAGAGTTTTCGGTATGACGTGAAGAAGCAAAAAGGCGTATAAGGGCGTGTTTATTTCTACAGAAATTCATGTTCCTGTGTCTGACATATTTTCTAGAGGAACTCAAAGCACAAATTTTAGAATACATCAAATTGTCAGAATTCGTCATATAAAAAACAACAGAGATATATATTTGAGCTTTTTCATATGTAGAACGTGGGTGCTTGTTTGATTTTGTCGTTGCCTTTTGTACCGCAGGTCCATCGCTAATATTTCTGTATCTTATATACTCTCATGGCCAGAAGGTGGAGACAAAACAGTCGTAGAGTAAATTTACAAAGAAAGACAAGAAAATAACACAAGCAGTTTTTTTAATGAGGTTTAATCCTTCTGTGATTATAACTCAGTATTTTGTGCGTAGTAATTGCTTATCAGGTAACCCTTACATTTAGAATTAGCCATTTATAATCGCATAGGCTGTTGCAAATAATTTTGTTTTCTTTCTGACATTTATCAGGATAAAATCAGTTAAGCAAATAGTCCTTTGTTTCTGCTTGGTGTTTGTTTGGGACCGATCAAATGTAAGCAGATGGTGTGTCTTAATTGACTTAATCACTGCAACAAATGAACAGTTGAGTGGCAGATTCATTTTAGATATTTTATGCAAACTACAAATGCTTGGAATAAAATTAAACTGTCGTCCCTCCCTTTTCATCTCCCTCCAGCCACGGAGCATCAGGTTTAATTGTCACTGAGAATCCATCATTTTGATCTCCTCACATAGACAGCGTGATTTAGGGGAAATTGCTGCATATCACTGCAATTGTTTCCTTTTAAGCTTTTTGCCTTGCAAAAGAGCGTGAAAGCTTCTCCTTTGGAACACAAAGTGGTGAATATTCTGGCTTCCTCCTGATTTGAGTTTGCAAGTTCTTTTTTTGCTGTCTATATTCCATGCTAAATGACCACCCGTTCAGTCTTTTTTTTTCCAGTGGAATCCGTTTTCTGTGTCTCCTCTCTGTCTTAAAAAAGTGAGACTTGAGCTTTGACAACTTGGACAAGCTATGAGAACATGCTGGACTTGCCGGTTGGCAGCAGTGACTCATCGTCTGATGTCACCCACAAGAAACTTTCCCTCCTCATTTTTCTCTGCCTCCAGCTTTTCACTCTTTTCATAGAGTATTTTATGTGTTTTTTATCATCCTTTCTCTCTCTGTGTCCTTTTTCTGTAGTCATGGCTAGCCCACTGCGTTTCCAGGGTAACAGCATGTTGCAGTGGAACAACCTGGAGGCGGTGGCGGCCTCAGTCCTCTGGCACATAGAGCTCATGTTCCGCACTCGCCAGTCCAGCGCCACACTGCTGCACATCTCCTCCGGCCTGCAGCACAACCTCACTCTGCAGGTAAGAGCATCACATGGTTAAACACGCAGCGGGGGGAGGGCAAATACACTTTGGTCTGCGTGGTAAAGTTGCATCATTGCCCAATGTTTGAACCAAAAAAAGAAATTCTCCACGCTAAAAGGCTCAGGCAGCATTTTTAGTTCTTCCCTCAGTGACTTCTTAAGCTTATCTAGACTGACAACTCTTTGATGTTTCATCAACAGTCTATGCTCTTGCACACAGACGGTTGGAAGTGGTTCAAAATTTGAACTTTTGAACCAGGGTGTGAAAAAAATAATTCGAAAAGAATCCTGCCAGCTCTCAGTGTCTATAAAGCATACGATGCAGAGCTGTCTTTCATCCTCCCCTGCCCCTCTCCCTCTCGCTGTCTATTCCTCGCTGCTTTCTCAGGTTCGTGGAGGAAGTGTGCTGATGGGACTCCACAGGGGGGAGGACTCCACTCTCTCCCGCGTGGAAGAGGTTCTGGTGAACGACGGCGACTGGCATCATTTGCAGCTGGACATCAGCAGTCTGGGAGGAGCGGCCAGCCACCACAAAGCAGTGCTGTCCTTAGATCACGGACTCTACCTGGTGGGTTGTTCAGTACCTGTGATTGTAAAACAAACAATTAAAAAAACAAACAAAAAAAAAGAATGCTCACCTTCCGTTTCAGGCTAGTATGGAGGTAGACGGGAAGCTGCGGGACTCCAAACTGAAGGCAGTGTGTGTCGGAGGTTTGGCCAGGCCTGATGGGAAAGTGCAGCATGGCTTCCGGGGTTGTATACAGGTGGGGAAACCCAGTGCTTGCCACTGTGCCAGGTCATTTTGGAGGCAGACTATGATATACAGACAGAAGAGATGTTTGTTGATAAAATCCCTACCTGTGATTGCTCTACGCAGGGCCTGCGTGTCGGCGGGGCTCTTAGTTTGTCTCAGGCGAGGAAGGTGAATGTGGAGAAGGGCTGCAGCGTGCCCGACCCCTGCAGCTCCAACCCCTGTCCCGCCAACAGCTACTGCAATGACGACTGGGACAGCTACTCCTGCACCTGCGTCAACGGTCAGTCCGTCCACTCGTTCACAGACCGATTGCATTTTTCAAGGCTGGAGGGTTGCAAAAATCTTTTTCTTTTTTTTTTTCCCCTGTTCGCGTTTTGTTTTTCTGCAGGTTTCTATGGCACTAACTGCACTGATGTGTGCTCACTGAACCCCTGTGAATACGAGTCCAAGTGCACCAGGAAGCCAAGCTCCTCTCAAGGCTACACCTGTGACTGTCCCAGAAACTTCTTTGGCCGATACTGCGAGAAAAAGTAAAAAGTCGTCTTAAACTCATATCTTTCACAGAAATTCTCATTCGTCTTTCGAGAAATTAAGATGTTTGTTTGCACAGGACCGACTTGCCATGTCCAAGAGGCTGGTGGGGTCACAAAACATGTGGCCCCTGTAACTGTCCCACGGACAAAGGTTTTGATTCCGACTGCAACAAGACAAATGGAGAGTGCCGCTGTAAGGTGAGTGCGCTGCTCTGAATAATTCATCTGCACCCAGCTTTAGCTCAGTTCTATCAACTTAATGAAATGGGGAAATAAGAAACAAGCAATCAAGCAAACAGAAAACCTTTCTTTACATTTCAATTCACTGGACCAATCGTGATTTGAATTGTCCTTATTTTTTGGTTTAGTTGACATGATGATGGGAATTTTCGAAAAAATAATATATTCTGACAATCTTCTTTTTTTCTTTAAAAACTTAGGTTGAGCTTGACCTTTCTCGTAGGAAGGAAATCTGTGAAATATACAAAAAAAATAGGGAGGCTAGTCCTTAAAAAAGAAAAGTAATGAGCAACTTGTGTCTCCCAACTCATTTCCAGGACAACCACTACCAGCTTGAAGGCAGTGACACCTGCCTGCTGTGCGACTGCTACCCGATTGGCTCATTCTCCAGAGCTTGTGACAGAGAAACTGGGCAGTGTCAGTGTAAAGCTGGCGTCATCGGGCGCCAGTGTGATCGCTGCGACAACCCGTTCGCCGAGGTTTCTCCTAATGGCTGCGAAGGTCCGAGCCTATAACTGACCGTCACTGAAATAGCTTAATTTTAATCCCTGTTTCTTTAAAGACAGATGTGTTCGCATATTAGAGAATCTCCTTTCCCCTCTCACCTCTCCTCCCCCCCTGCTCTCTCTCTTGCTCAGTAATCTATGACAGCTGCCCTCAGGCCATCGAGGCAGGAATATGGTGGCCCAGGACTAAGTTTGGTCTCCCTGCAGCGGTTCTCTGTCCCAAGGGAACTATTGGTATGACTTTTGTTTAGTTTTGGCAGCTCATTAAATGACCATATAATGATGGCAATATATGAAACTTGCCCGGAGCCGTCATTCGGCTGTAGGCTGCTCCTCGCCGCTCATGTGAGCGCTGCCTTCTTTTTCTCAGGCACAGCCATCCGACACTGTGACGAGCACAAGGGCTGGCTGCCTCCCAATCTCTTCAACTGCACCTCAGCCACTTTCATCAAGCTGAAAGCCCTGGTGAGCCGTCTCCCTCTGTCAGTGTAAAACCTCACCTACAACTCGCACTTCCTGATTCATTAGGCTGTGGAGATAAAAAAAAAAAAAAAGTTATTGCGAATTATGTAACCTGAGAAATGCCAAAAGGTAGGAGGTCATCAAAATGAGTGGGACTCTGACATTTTCATTTGAATGGAGAAGCTGAAGAAGCCTTCTGTTCAGCCATTTCGCTTTTATTTACGGTACAATTATCAAATAAATGACTAAGCGGTTGTTCTTAAAATGCCCCTCTCCAGTCTGAAAGGTTTTCCCGTAACGCAACGTTCCTCGAACCTGGACAAGTTCAGCAGACGGCGGCCATGTTAGCCAACGCCACCTTGCACACAGAGAAGTTCTACGGCAGCGATGTGAAAGTGGCCTACCGCCTCACACAGAGGCTGCTGCAGCACGAGAGCATCCAGCAGGGCTTCAACCTCACGGCCACGCAGGACGTCCACTTCACTGAGGTAAGAAACCCCCAGCAAGCACGCAGTTTCTCAAATGGGACGCAAAGCCTTCGCTTTTGAGATTCTGGCTGTTAACAGGGTTCCTCCTGGTCGGACGACATGGCCGTTCATTTGGCTGAACTCCTGCTGCTTCCTTACAGAACCTGGTCCGTGTGGGCAGTGCCATCCTGGCCCCAGACACGCGGCCGCACTGGGAGCTCATCCAGCACGCGGAGGGCGGCACCGCGGCTCTGCTGCGCCACTTCGAGGAGTACGCAAACGCCTTGGCTCAGAACATGAGGAAGACCTACCTGAGCCCCTTCACCATTGTCACACCACACATGGGTGAGCATTTTCCTCCCTCCAAAGGTGACGAGGGTTGGCTCGTCATCGAGATATCAATGGAAACCGGGTTAAGAAACCTGTTCCAGGACCATCTTTTTCTGTCAGCGGAATGAGAAAATCTGTAGTTATCAAACAGTGACATCCGTTTTGAAGCTGACTCCTCTCATTTGTTTCCGCAGTCATCTCTGTGGACCGTCTCAAGAAGATGAATTTCGCGGGAGCCAAACTTCCACGCTACCAGTCCTTAAGGGGCCCGCGTCCCGCAGACCAGGAGACCGCCGTCACCCTCCCCGATTCAGTCTTTCAGCCGCCGGTGGACACCAAAGGCCACAGGCACCTGGACGTCTTCCCGGAGTCCTCGCTGAAGAACCGCTCGGCTAACAGGAAGAGACGCCACCCCGATGACAGCCAGCAGGACGCCATCGCCAGCGTCATCATCTTCCACAGCCTGGCCTCGCTCTTACCGGAGAGCTATGACCCAGACAAGAGAAGCCTGCGGTGAGGGGTCGCCTCGAGTTCCAGCTCTGTTTCCCTCAAATGATGTTTCGTAGGCTTTGAATTTCTTTTGTGATTTCTCAGTGAGGAAACCTGCTGCAACCGAGCCGCCAGACACACTCACATTCTGCTTTATGTTTTTGTTTTTCACAGGAGCGCATGCCTGAATAGCAAATTTTTCCACCTAAGCCATTACAATAAGTCAGGTCTTGTGTCGCTCTGTTTTTCGCAGAGTGCCAAAGCGGCCGGTCATCAACACACCGGTGGTCAGTATCACCGTGCACGACAACGACGAGCTGCTGCAGCACGCGCTGGACAAACCCATCAACGTGCAGTTCCGCCTCATCACCACCGAGGAGCGCTCCAAACCCATCTGCGTCTTCTGGAACCACTCCATACTGTGAGTACACAGACACACACACACACTCCACAGACGAAGGTGCGCTGGGGGAGGTTGCGTTGGCCTCACCGGGCGCTGCGCCCGTTGTGTGTCACCCTCAGAGCTGGAAATGGCGGCTGGTCGGCCAAAGGCTGCGAGGTGGTTTTCAGGAACAGTACCCACATCAGCTGCCAGTGCTACCACATGACCAGCTTTGCGGTGCTGATGGATATCTCCAGGAGGGAGGTGGGGGAATCCTCGTATTCTAAATATCTGCACGCTGATGTGTGGCTGATATCCTACTAAATGTGATGTCTGTGTCAGAATGGGGAGATCCTGCCCATCAAGATCCTGACGTGGAGCACAGCGGGTGTGACCCTCGGCTTCCTTTTCCTCACCACAATCTTCCTCCTGTGCCTGAGAGCCATGCAGTGCAACAAGACGAACATAATCAGCAACGGAGCCACCGCTCTCTTCCTCTCTGAGCTCATCTTTGTCCTGGGCATTAACCAGGCTGACAACCCGGTAATGACCCGGCTTGCATGCTTGTTTCTCCTGCTCCGGGTAACTTTCCAGGTCTAAAAGCTTCTACATTTCTCCTGTTTTTTGTTTTTTTCTGGCAGTTTCTCTGCACGGTCATCGCCATCCTGCTGCACTTCTTCTACCTCTGTTCTTTCTCCTGGCTCTTCCTGGAGGGGCTGCACGTTTACCGCATGATCAGCGAAGTGCGAGACATCAACTATGGACCCATGAGATTCTACTACCTGATTGGCTGGGGGGTGCCAGCATTCATTACAGGTTGGATGTTCAGTGTGTCCCTCAGGAAACCAAGATTATGTGTCGTCCAACAACAGTATAGATAGTTTAAAAGTTTATAAAAAAAAAAAAAAAAAAAAAAACTATAATGTCCGGTCCCAAAAAATATGATATCATTGATCATTTATAACAAAGTAAGCCTTTAAATGTAGTTAAAGAAAAACAAAGTGTGATATTGAAATCAGTTTGCTATTAAGTGTTTATTGAAAATGTGTCAGCAGACAAAAAGCAGAACAAAGTTTCCCACAGGAGTCTGGTTGTAAAGGTTTCTTGCCTCCAGGCTTGGCGGTGGGACTGGACCCCGAAGGGTATGGTAACCCGGACTTCTGCTGGCTGTCCATGTACGACACGCTGATCTGGAGCTTTGCAGGACCCATCGCCATGGTGGTGTCTGTAAGTGCAGTCTGCTGTCATTATTCACTCAGTCAGCCCAGTTGTTTCCATCACAAAATCCAACTGTTTTATGATTTGTGATGCATTTTTATGTTTTGTCCACAGATGAACGTCTTCCTGTACATCCTATCATCCCGAGCCTCCTGCTCGATGAGACACCACAGCATCGAGAAGAAAGAGCCCCGTGTGTGAGTAAAAAAAAAAGGAAAAAGGAAAGGGGAAGAATGGGACCCTGTGTAAAAAATATAGATAATTTGTAAAAACAAGATTTTGAGACTAATAAGTGTCTCAAAGATCTGAGTGCAGTAATTTCAACAAATTAACAAAATAGCCTGTTATGTTACATATTTACATGATTTACATTTTGCTAAAAGAAGTAGATGATTGTTGATAATGAGTGTTTTGGTGCATTCAGCCTCGCCAACTCCTCTGTTGCTTATTTCGATCTTTCAGCTCAGGCCTGAAAACTGCAGGTGGTGTCCTCTTCCTGGTGTCCGTCACATGTTTCCTGGCGCTCTTGTCCGTCAACAGTGACATGATCATCTTCCACTACCTGTTCGCAGGCTTCAACTGCATACAGGTAGAAGCCCCGAGATGCTCTCTGGAGAATCGTCTGAGGTGGAGTTTGCTGGTGTCCTAACTTTATCCGTGTCTTTCTCGTGCCGTGTCAGGGTCCGTTTGTTTTCTTCTTCCGCATCGTTTTCAATAAGGAAGCAAGGAACGCTATGAAATACTGCTGCAGCCGTAAGCGCCCGGATCACATGGTCAAGTCCAAAGCCTCTGTGAGTCCCTCCCCACAAACACAGGGTGTACTCTTCTCCATGCAAAATCTTAAAAGTGAACGTTAAAAATCTTGAAATTTAAATGTAGTTTAGTTTTTCCAGAAAATGCAGTTTGGTTTACAGTTGTTTTTTATTCTTTATTATATTTATTACTTTCTGTATTGTTTGAAAAAAACAAAACAATCAACCATACAAAACTTTGTGCATTTACAGAAATGAGCAGAAAGTAATAAATGCTTTATTGACAATAATTTAAAATGTCTCTCCAAACACCTGCAACATTTTAACACACTTGACTTACTCTTATTTGAACTTCTGCTCCAGTTCCATTTCTTCTTTAAACTCATATGTAGATAAATTCATATTCTCTTAATACCTGAAGGTTACAACTGCGTTTCTTGTTAGACAAAGAGTAGTAATGGTTTCTCATTTGTGAGTCCCTCTATATCACATCTGATAAATGACTAAATATTTGTCCCCTCATTCTTTTCTTGTGCTTGTTATTAGAGCTATAAATCCAACACAAACTACACGGATGGCAGGTTGTACCACCTTCCCTTTGGTGACTCCAGTGTGTCGCTGAATGGCACCATGCAGAGCGGCAAGAGTCAGCAGAGCTACGTGCCCTTTGTCCTCAGGTGAGAACCCCATTCCAGAGTACGCTGAACATGACCTATGCTTTGACTGAGAAAGTTATCAACATTATCCCGCTTAATGTTTTGATTCAGGGATGATGGACTGAATAACAGCCAGGCTCAAATAGCTCTGAACGACCACACATCACTGTTCCAGGAAACGAAGGAGCGCTTGGATGGTAGCGTTGTCGTTAATCATAAGTAAATGACCTCACCGGCTCTATTTCTGCCACTGAACTCCCTTTATCTCTGTTTATATCTCATGCACAGATCACGACAGCGACTCAGACAGCGACCTTTCTCTAGAGGATGACCAGAGTGGCTCGTACGCTTCTACTCACTCCTCTGACAGTGAGGACGATGGTCCTCTCCCACCAGAGGAGTGCTGGGAAAACATGGCTTCCAACGGTGCCAAGAGACCCCAACCCACTGGTAAAGATGGCTGCCTGACCCGTCCCACTGCCCCTGTTCCTCATGTGTCATGTCTAATGTGTGACCATGTGACATGATACAGTTATTCTCTCTGCTTCTTTCTTCTTAAAATAGTTTATTTATTCACTTTCCCCTTTTAATGCAAAGGAAGTTCTTTAATGATTTATTAAACATCATTAAACATCATCAAGCATTTGTCAAAATGAAAAAAGTCTAAGTCCTTCCAAGGTTCGAAAAACAATTTTTAGTGTCTTGTAAATACCAACAAAAGTACAAAGTCCTCTCTTCAGGAAATTGGATCCTTGATGCTGAGACAAAAAATAAAAAAAAATACTCCTTTTCTGTCTTCTTAGACACCAGTTTAAGTAAGATGTACTGGCCTGGAGATTACACAGCAGTGGGGGAGGAGGGAGAACGTGCAGGTGGAGACAGGCCCAATATGGAAACCCCAGAGCCTGTTCTCGGCCGAAACTTTCGGACTTTATCGGACGACAGGTCGCAGGACTCCATGCTGCTGCCCTCCCTGCCAGTGTTCAGCACCCACCCTCACAAAGGTACAGCCCCACCAAAAAACTAAACACCAGAATGTACTGTGTAAACTTGGATCTTTTCTTTAGCTTGATTGCAGGACTTTTTACGGCTCACCTGACCAGCTAGTTTCTACAAACTAACTGTAGAGCCCCCCTCACATGTAGTCAGGAAGCTCAATCCTCTTATGATGCATGTGGCCAAAACAAAAGTTCTTAGTCATACCATGATGGCAGATTTGGCACGATGTGCCTGTAATACTTAAAAAAATTCTCAAGGAAAATGGGAGCAAGGTTAAAAACTTGCTTTTCATCTAGCAGAGACTTCCTTGAATAGGAAATGTAAATCAAATCTTAGCTCAGCTCCTGCTGTGGGACATCACAGCTTATTCTTTATCCTGTGCAGGAATCCTGAAGAAGAAGCAGCTTTCTCCTATTGTGGAGAGGAACGGTCTGCATCGGATCCACAACGAACTCTGTGATAGTGCTCCAGGATCAGCGTCCCCACAGGGCTCGTCCTCGGGTGATAGCCGAGCCGGCCCGGCCAAAGCCGGCCTGCCCGACCAGCTGAACGGCGTGGCCCTGAGCATTAAGGCGGGGACAGTGGACGGTGACTCGTCAGGATCAGAGTGAGTATCCGCACACTCTCAGTTCCACAACACCCAACTGAAGACAAGAAACTGAAAGCAACAGAGTTCGGTCTTCAGCGTTGTTTCCTACCCGTCAGTGTCTCTGCTGTGTTACTGCTCGTTCATTCAGTGTTGGTCAGCCTGTCGGTATTTGTCCCCCTGGACTGTCCTCTGTGGCATTCTGTCTCATTTCCATGTGATAAAAACCCGCAGTAAGTTTCATTTCCCTAAAAGTTAGAATAAGTACGAATATATTTTTTAAAGACACGTTATGTTTTAGTCATTGCTATGACAATTGTTGAGCAGCTCTTACTTATAAAAAATTATATTTGTAATGTAAATCCTTCAGTAGGTCAAAGTAATTCAATGCCAACCTGGAACAAATGTTTTTATTGTGTTGACACTTAGATACAAAGCTGCACACTCATATGTATTTGTGTCTTCATTACATGTATTAATGTGTATTTGAAGTACCTACCATGCAGCAGGTCATATTCATAGTAAATGTATAAATAATAGTTACTAATTAATCTTCTTTGCTCCTTTTCTCTTTCCAAAAATCATAGATTTTTATTCTTTAATTTTATTCCGTGAAGCTCTGATCCTCATTATAAAATAAGGATCACTGTCTTCTGAACGGTGTATCGTTTAAGCATCGGTCACCCCCCCCCACCCCCCCCCCCCCCCCCCCAACAAACACACACAACTTCTGTGTATGTTTTTGTGTTTGTCTGTGTGGAGGTGTTTCACATTGTTGGTTTTTATTTGCTTTTTTTCTTGTTTTTTTTTTTACATTCCCTCTTGTGTTGTGCCGCGTTCGTCCCCAACATTCTCCATCCATCTTGGCCCCGCCCTCCTCCTCCTTCACCTTGCCATGCCTTCCTGTTTTCCCAGCAGACACCGCAACACCTCCTTGTGACCCCGCTGACGGAGAGGTGTGTCTTTGCAGGTCATAGAGCCTCCTCTCTCAGCAGTGACTGAAAAACAGAAGCAGCAGACCTCTCCTCCGAGTCTGCCATACAAAGGAACAGAAGAACTCCCCCTCGTCGTCGTGATCCTCTAAAGGAGTGTGTGCACATTTTGCCGTGAGTGGGTGCGTGTGAGTTCATAGGTGTGTGCCAAACTACAGGAGTTACTGCACACTGGCAGAAAAAAATCACCCCCCTTTAAATAATTGTTTTGTTTACATACTTGAAGCAATGCACTTTTTTTTTCTTTTTCTATTTGCTGCCCGGATCAGTTTTTTTCTATCAATTTTCGTATGTTTTTTTCTGCTCTGGTTCCAGGATGAATAGATTGTTTTAAAGACTGTGGAACGATACACACGTATTGGATTTGGGCGGGGTCACTTAACTGTAGACAAACATTCAGGGAAATGTCCTTTTTTTTTTTCTTGCCTCAGTCTTTTGTGTCATCTCCCCCGTTTGCTGTGTGAGCCGATGGCATCTGTGCTGGTTTTAAGGAGGTCACGCTCAGGTTATTGAGTAATGTCGCAGGAGGAACTGGACGGTCGAGTGCGGGTCCTTTGCAGACGCCACGGCTCTTGTTGGGTCGATGAAAACTGAACTTGTAAACGGAGAAAGTATCTTCCTGTCAACAGCCGCTCCACATAAGCTATGTCTCATCACTGAAGGAACTGCTGCACAGACTGAAAGCCTTCAAGAGCTCTAAACTGCTCGTGCAGAGAACTCAAAGGACTTTTGATACATCCTTAAGTTTTTGTAAATCGCTGGGAGCACTTTTTTTTTTTTTACAGAAGCTCTCACATTTCATCATTGTATCATTTGTTTTGGGTTCAGTGACTAAACAGCTGTGTTTTGTAGATTAGAAACAGAGCTTTGTGTTTTTGTAAAAAAGAAAAAAATACGTGCAGTTGTTTGCTGTAATTTTATTTGAGCTGTAATCCATTTTTTTCCTGTACAGAATTTCCTGTAAATGAATCAAAAACATATCTTGAAATGTAAGTAGGAATCACTGTTGGTGCTCGCGAGGAAATCTTATCCATGAGTTTCTGCTGTCGCTCAGATTGATGTGATACTTGTTGATGCCATTTTTACAAACCATGTGAGCTTAATGTATAAATTCCATGCCATAAGAATCAACACTACCACTTCAATACTGGTGTTATAACACTGATGTCCAAACACAGGATTGTATCTTTGACTCGGATCCTGTTTTTACCAATTAAATTGTTTTCTACCATTTGTGTGTCTACCATTTTAGTCGGTACCAATGGAAACAGCGTTGCTTTTTCCAAAAGTTTTTATTTTCTACAGGTACAGGTACAAAAAACGGTTTGAAAAGCAAACATAACTGGAACAAAGTCAAAAAGCAAAAGACAAAGTCTAAGCTAGAACTAATGTACATTGATTTTATGTTGAGGAGCTTTCTTATTTGCTTTGTGGTGCAGGAAATTCCGTCTGTCACTGAGGGAGACAAAATCTACCTTCTGGCTCATCTCATGCTTACTTATGTGTTTTAGAAAATTGTTATTTTACTGAAGTTTTGTCCTGGTGTGTGCGCTAGCCTTTTACTGGCAGCTGCAGCCGGCTGGGGTTTGGGCGGGAGGTTGTGTGTCATCTTGTTTTTCTTGTCCTGTTTATTCTCACGTTTTGGGTTTAAGCCTTCTGGTTGTTCCCACAGAGCTCACCGTGCATAGTTACCTGCTGCGTTCTAGGCCAATTGTTTCTTACTGCCAGAAGCTTATTGAGCATTAAGTCACCTGGATAGCTGAGAGCATGAAAGAAACTTTAGTTATTTTTATTATTTGTGTATTTCATTATCTCAAAATAGCAAATAAATAAACAGGGTCCAAGGTAGATGGATACCTGCATCATTAGTCCTTTTTAAATCCCATTTTCATTCATTCTTCTTAGTAGAAGCTTCAATTTCTGTGAGTGTCCATGAGCTATCTATTACACATTTCCACTCTTCCACGTGTATGGGAATTTTTTCTTGGTGCAGTCAGAGTCACAGAGCTGATTTCAATGACTTTTTATGATGAATACCATGCCTTTGCAAAAAACGAACAAACCCTAAAGCATTATCCACCTGCTCCAATTTACAGCTATATATACATCTACTGAAAATGAGTATGGCCATAAAAAATATTGTTTAAGTCCTTTCCAATGGCTGATATGTAAAGAAGGTTGGTCATTTCTCAGGAAAAAGAAGGTTACGAGCTTTACAAGGCAAAATATGGGATGTCACCAACAGACTGATTTTCTCAGGAAACAGAGCAGTAGGAAATGTCCCTCCTGAAGAAAACGTGAAATTGGGACTTTAACATCACATGTGATTTTGAGTATTTATCCTGAGAGCTTTTAAAGAAGAGGTAGAAGATTTTTAAGCCAGAAATGGGAGAAAAGGCACTCACTAGGTGGTGCTAAGGTCGCTTGGCTGCTTTTCAGGACCTAAAGGATTTCATCCTCTCTGCTGAGACATAAACAGACAGATATCTGAGGAGATCAGTCTGCTGACATGATTCCAGCGCCATGATCTTATCTATGATTCACTAGGAAGTCATATATGAAGAAAAACCTGTTTTAAGTCGCTGGATTTTCTTTTTCTACTCAAAGCTGTGAAAGCCCAGTCAATTTTAGTCCAGCTCCTCATCTTAGCATAAAAAAAGAGAAAGACAATGATTCACCTCACAAACACCAGTGAGGACACATTGCGCAGACATTGCCCTGTTTAGACAAGACAAAGGTTAGGAAAACTATCAACTGTAGTTAAAAATGCATTACCCATAATAATAAATTACTTTTGACACAACACCTTCTTGTAACGGATCATTTTATTAAAAAAGTTGTTTTGTATAGATGCAGACATGTTCATTTTAAATACAATCTAAAATTGTATATATATATATATATATATATATATATATATATATATATATATAGTTTTATAATACTGGGAACTGGTTATTTTTTAAAACAATTTGCATCTAGTCACAATTCTCCAGACAAATAATGAATTAGCACTGCAGCTACAATGAAAGTATAATGTGGAGTTTATATACAAATACACAAAGCACAAACAATAAAACACATATGCACACTTCTCATCTGTGTCAGCCCCTCATAAATAACCAAAATCCATCAGTGATGAAGGAGTAAAACTTGCGTTTTTCCATTTGTCCATTCAGCTCCATTCTTGATAAATACAACAAAAATACTTTTCTGATAAGAATCCCTATCACACAGATGTTAGTTTGTCTGGAGTGTTTTCAGTTTGAGTCCTCGAGGCTGCTGCTTTTCTGCTCGGAGCTGCAGTTGCAGAGCCGGTCCATGATGCTTTGCAGGCTGGGCTCCACGATGCCGAGCAGGGGTCTGAGGGAAGGGTCGCCGTTCCAGCAGGCCTCCATCAGCTGCCAGCATTCCTCATCGAAACCGGGCAGCCGCTCAGGTCTGGCACCTGAAAAACACACAAATACAAGAGAGTCGCCGACAGCTGACAGAAACAGAGTGTCAAAGCAAACAGCGACCACCTGCCGGTCAGCTGGCTGGTGACATCAGTGATCCTCGCCTGACCAACGACAATGTCCTACATGGCCATGAGTTACCAAAAAGAAAAAAAGGGGGGGATCTCAGTTGATAAAGACTTCTTATGACAAACTCTTTTTTGTTTCATGGTAATTCCGTTGGACTGCAGGACAAAGGATGATGTGTTTCACCATCATGTTCCTGTGCATCATTTGCTTCAGAGCAAACCCAATAAAACAACCTAACTTTTTTTTTAGGCACTAAAAAATGGGAAGGTCATACAGTAAGAAGCTTTTTGGATTAGGAAGTTTAAAAAGGAAAAGCATATATATTTTGAGGGAATATGCATCAAACTTCCATGTATGCTGACCAACACCTGTAACTGCTGCGGTGTCATTTGACTCAGGGCTGAATGCTGAGCCAGCGTTTTCTGCACCAGCCAGAAAGTGAGATATTAGAGGCGGCTTTTTATTATAGACACATTTTCCAGTCAGGAAATTTCAGTTTTTCTATTCTTGTTTAAAATAAAAGCATGCATCCATCTTATTCCTCACCTTGAGTCTTGGCTGATCTGAATGCATTTTGTTTGGGTAACCCCTTACCTTTTTTAACATTGTTCCACAGCTGGTCTTTACTGGAGCATTTCTCAAAGGCTTCTGGAAGCTTCACTGACCCAGTGCAGAGGTACCAGAACAGGATCCCGAAGGCGTAAACATCGACTGAGTTATCATACTTTCCTGTCAGGAGAACCAAAGCAGAAACCGTCATTTCTGCTGAAGCAGGTACCCTCATCTTAAAGCTGTGAGCACAAATTCTTGACTTAATAACATCATGCATGTTCAACATCACATGGCAGCCCCTTAACTGGATAAAAGCCTTTCGACTTTGTTAACATTTTGGCTGGTTTTGTAGGAGACTTCAGACAAATTAAACAGCTTGAAGTAGTACTACAGGAGTTTCCCGGTGATGTAATTAACCTAACTGTACCTGTAAACAGCTCAGGAGCCATGTGGATGGGGGTTCCGACGATGCTGCCAGACATCATGGCCTCTGGCTTACAGAAGCCCAGGTCAGTGATCTTCGCACGGTTTTGTTTGTCCAGCTAGAAAAGGGAAACAACAATTCTTAAAGGACTCTTTGGAGTGAACAAAGAAAGGATCCTGGATCGTATTAATACACCCCGGTGCTTCAAAATGCTCCAAACTCCAAGTTTCGATTTGATGCTGAAGTCTTGCATCTGGTCATGACGAGCATGCACATGCATTGACTTAGTGAGGGAAAACATGAGGATGTTTTACTGGTGATGTGAACTTACTAGAACATTTTTTAGCTTTATGTCTCTGTGCAAGAGACCCTGACTGTGCAGGAAGCGAATCCCCTCCACCACGTCCAGGGCAATCTGAAGTCTCTCCCTCAGTGATAAACCAGCCTGCCGGGAATGGAAAAAAGGAGGGAGAGGAGGAAAAAAAGGGAGATACAGATTAGAATCGAAGACGGAGATGATGCTCCCATTGGGGAATAGCTGAAGTCACCTTCAGGCCTGTGTAGAGGTCCCGGTGCAGCCGCTCCATGATGAGCAGCACAGCGATGCTGGAGCCGCCTCCATAGGTGTGATCGATCACAGAGCCATGCAGGTCAACCAGCCGCTCGTGCTTAGGCAGAGTCCTGGAGCAACACACACAGAAACGTAAGGGTCAACACAGCTATTTCAACCTTAAAAAAACACTTGATTAAAGGGCTGTCGGTGCACTAATAGGACACTTTAATCTTATCAGAAAAGCCTCAAGCATCAACAGTCCAAACAAAGACGTTCCCCCAGCATGGGTGGAGTATGGCAGCTACAAAGGAACAGCTGTCAAGCCCAATCAGAATGAGTCCTCCGCTGGAACAATGCAGCTGCCTCGGAAACCGCACACATCTTTGGACATGTCTCACGCACACACACTCGCTCTTGCAGGTGCACCTTGTGTAGTGAAACTCCAAGGCCAGATCGTTCCAGTGTTTGTCGTCAGGCGGAACCACAGACTTCAGGGCACACGGGTAGTGTCCTCCCCAGCTGTCGCACAGGTACACAACTCCATATTGGCCCCGGCCCAACTCCCGCCCAAGCTTAGGCTTGCCTGGAGGAAAACGATAAATTCCACGGAAGCAGAGAAGAACATGGTTCAGGATCCACTTTTAGGAATAAAAGAAATAGTCAGTGTTTTGTAGGGACTGGTTATACTCTGTGACTAGATTTTTAACCTGTTTTTCTAAACAATTTAGCCGTGTGAGATGTTGTCAGGTGCCCTCCCCTGAAATTTACTCTGTGAGCTGACTGTGAGTGAAGTATGAGCGAGTTGGGTGGCGACTCACCATGCAGCAGCACGTCTCTCAGGGAGCGGCTCTCCAACGACAGGCGAGCCAGACGAGGGGCGTGGTCCTTCCTCACACGCAGCCACAGGTCCTCTGTCCGCTCCAGGCGCCCTGTGTGCCCTTCCTCCAACTGCAAAAACGCCAACGCATCGCCAAAGGTCTCATGTTTAGCTTTAAGGACCACCAAATGACCCAGTTTCCAAATGTTCCTCTGTTCGCAAATACAAAACTCTTTTCAAGAAGAGTCACTGTCTCTGTCTCTTTGGGCCTCTGCATTCATACAGTTTACGCATGCTTCCAAACTTCTTGTTGTTCTTTATTAGTCTGTTTCTTCGGTAAACATTTGAAGTACAAAGGTTAAACTGCACTACAACTTATCAGAGATTATTCTCCGTGCACTCCAGCCTCAGCTTATCAAAAAGCCAGAGTTCTTTAGGTCTACATGTAATTTGTCTGCCTGTCTAAACAACGTCTTTTGAAAGCTACATGAAGTTCTCAGGGACTTCGGACTACCCTCCTTCACCTCTGGGGCAACAGCATCATTTATTACACAGAGAGTATGTCCTTGATTAATTTCCTTGTTTTTTAACCAGGGGGTTAAAAAGATGCCTCCGGCTGTGTGTAATCACTGAGCTCTGCTGCTTTGTGCCTTCTGGTTCATGACTTGTGTCACACCATGTCATCATGTTCTTTTTACATGACTTTCTTTTGAGGCTTGCCATCTTTCCAACTTTCTTCCCATGTGTGGGGTGTGCATATTGTAGAATAAATGTGACCATGTGCTCGACATCACATGCCAGTTTTGCAAATCACAAAAATAGACTTCACCGCCATGAAAAAAAAGGTCAGAGGTTGACGTATCTGTCTGTTTCTACTTTACTTGCCACTTCAGAGACAAATTGGTCAAATTTTCTGTGCTTACACATTAAGTTGGAATAGTGGAACTTGTGACTTTAACCAAAGTGTTACTCAGATGAATCCATGAAGAAAGAAGAGGCACGTATGGGGGAATCCGTGGGGGCTAGAGCTCCTGCCATCCCGTCACAGAGCCAACATACATAGACACAACTATACACACTACCTCCAAGGATCAATTTGGAATTGCCAATTGATCTGAGTACAAAGAGGGTGAAAAAACATGCCTGTGGAGAACATAAATCCCAGTCGGGATGCAAACCATCAACGTTTTGCAGGGAGAGGACAGAACTAACTTACAATTAGAACCCAGTGAGTTGAAAAAGAAAGTGCGACTGATTAGTGAAAGAGTCTGCTGATTTGTTCCTCTGGCTATTTCTACAGGAATGTGACAGACTTCTGATTCTGTTTTCTCTGGTTGACTGCTCTGTCCTAAGCTAAACGTTTAGGATTAGATCCATTGAAACAAGGAGTCGTCACACGGCCCATCTTCCATAAAATTATCACACTTAATTCTTGTATCTGTGCAGACAAATCTTGGATAAAGAATTAGTGGCTGAAAATGTAGGCGGCGATGTGGTCCTGGCCATCATGTGACGATTGGAAATAAAACACTTTCGCTGAAACTGATTTGTTATGGTCTCCATGGAAGAATGCTGCTACAATTCTGTGCTTCAAAGGCAATGTGATAAAACAGAAAAGGATTGTAATCAAGCCTTAAGCTGTGCAATAAAAAAGTGCAACCTTATAAAGTATCGACAGAAATCAATTCTACGGTATGTTTGCTATATGTTCCATCTCTTCCTCCACATTAACTTAGATAAATGTATGTGAACACAACTACAAGTGGCAGTTAATGCCAAACAAACAACGGTACCCATCCTGTTTTTACTTCAAAAGTAACACTGTCCATTTTTTATGGGGGTACATTTGCTAAAACAAGCTAATTAGATCTTTTTAAACTGCCAGAAGAAGCATGTTTACCTTCAGTAGTGTGAGAGCTAGAATGTACTCAGACCCGGTTCAGTAAGTACAGCGGGCTGAGTAATGGGACAGTTGGAAACTACGCTGTGTGGATATTGAGAAGAGGATATTGAGCCTCCAGTGCAACTTCACAACTGAACAGAAAAGGTTTGATGTTTTAATTAGCTCTTGTGTTGAAGCCCTACCAGACTCGAGAGTATAAATACCTGATTTTTAGTGTTAAGTGTTTTAGGTGTTATCTGTGTTTGTCTCAGCGTGCGTGAGTCCTCCAGTCATATCAGACATGGTGTACAATATACTATGAACAAATTCTTCACCCATTAGGAAGATACTCAAGACATTTTCTGGTTCTCAAGAGGTTATAAATATGTCTTAAAGAGTCAAATAATTTAACCTGGCGCAGAGACGCTGCAAAGGCCTCATGTGAGCTGTTGAGCCGGGTTCTGAACTGGGAGCAGATGCTTCGAGCCAGTTTGGCAGCACTGAGACTTTCTATGGCGTCCTGGGCAACCTTCCGTTTCCACTCTGGAGTGATTGCAGGAGGGTTCACAAAGGTTATCCTGTGGATTATCTAAAGGGAGGACAGATACGGGCAAAATAAAGAGTCCCCTTACTCAAGCAGATCAGTACAATAACAATCCATTCAGAAATCATCCATCACCATATGATATTTTGAAGCACCAACCTGTTTGATTTGCTCCCAGACAAGTCTTGTGACAGAGGATCCTGAATGAAAGGTGACCTCCACGTGATAGGCAGCGTTTAATAACTGTGACCAATAAGAAAAAAGGTAAATAGGCTGGAAAGTCAGCAGTTTAAAATAATTGTAGGAAATTTAATGGGATCTGTCGCCTTTGACCTTTTATTTTGACTTTATTCTATAACCAGGGAGAAAGGAAAAAAAGGAAGAACTATATGCATCTGGACTGTAACCAGGAATTGTTCCAATTCAAGCACAGTGGTCAAACTTCCATATTTCTAGTACAATGAAATAAAACCTCATTTAAAAAAAGCACTTAATTGAAATGAAACGGTTGATTCTGCTTTTTGACCCTCGCATAACAAGTTAGGCTTTTCCAAAAACTACAGCCTACCTGTTTCAGATGATTAGAAGTAATATTGTGAACAGAGGAATCGAAGGTGGACTTTTCCAGACTGTTGAGACAACGCTCCAGAGTTCCCACAAAGCTCTCCCTCAGATAGTCCACAGAGCTGATCAGCTTATTCGCCACCGCCTGATTCAAACGCACCACTATCAGCTCCTGGATCAGATGGATGCAGGATTTGATCTCCTTTGACGTAACGGGCTCTCCATTAGTTGTTACAATGATGTCTGCAGACGAAAGAAAAGTTTGTCAAGATAATTAGGCCGCATGTGTAACCAATTAGCACAGAGAAATAATGACTCAATGTCATGAGCTGTTGATTTTAAAGCTGAATACCGCCAGTGCGTTTGTTTTCTTTGTCATAACAAGCGGTTAATCAAGCATTTCTTCCTCAGTTTTTATATCAGATGAAAATTATGTTGAGGAGGTTCGAAGTGGCACAAGTAGCAGCATCAAATGTGCCAAAGAGAAAACTCCTCAAGGCTATTATGGACAAGGGCAAACATCAAACCAGCACCTACAGATACTTTAAATGGGTTTCAAAAAATAAATTGGATTTCCATGAATCAGCCACATTATAAAATGCAGGTCAACTCTTGGTATTCCTCTTGTCAAGATGTTCGTCAGTTACAAGTCTCTGCGTTGGAAACTTAAGAAGAAGTAAAAATGAGACTTTCCCCAGATGTGTAGATAGAAGACACAGGTATGTTGGACTTTGATTTTACAGACTGAACTCTGTTTTTGCTGAGCACATACATGCAGTGGTAAGTAAGGTCCAAACAAACAACGCTTCAACAATGAGAAGGAAAAGTACACCGATCTAATGTAAACATGGATACAAAGAAAAGAAGCATTTGTTTTAGGAGACTGCAAGGCTACCTGATTGTGTGAGTAAAAACACACAGTATAAATGTTATCTGAGATGTTTCCCCAAGACTTCAAAACTCTGTCCCTCAGAGGGAAAAGCTTTGTTGATCCAAGTGATAATAAGAGTGGGAAAAGCTGCATTTGGCTGACCCCTAGATCAGCCCACTGCAAAAAGACCAATTGCTGAAGAGCAGATTTTACCTTAAAGTAACCCAGACCACCATAAAAATGAGGTGATGGGACATTCAACTATTAACTCTGACCGTGCAAAATTTTGTGAAGAGTGTTTAAAAGAAAAGTGTGGCGAGTAAAGAAAAAAACAGCTGCTTACTTTGATTACTATTATAAAGTGGAATGGATTTAATAAGAACAGTATGGATGGGTCTGCCCGCCAGGTTAGAAAAGCACAGAATTGAATAAAAATACTCTTTGATGGTTCTTAAGATAAAAAAGAAAACATCACCAGAGGTGTGCCATAACCGATCTGCAATAACCGCAAAATCCACAGTTTAAAGTTGAAATATTATAACATTTTAAAGTTATGTACAAATAACGAGATGTATGCTTTTGTCTAAAGCAGACACTGTTCCACGACTAAACAAGCAAAGAGAAAATTATTTTCTGAGAATGAGATAACTAAAAGAAGAAAAACTGAAGGGCTACTTACAGCATAAAGTATTTTTCTTTTCAGTATAATCTTTATGAAAGAGTCAGTCAGGATGAACTTAAGAATGACAGCATTGTAATGAAATAGCATCAGAATGACCCTGAGGCCACATCGCAAATTCCAGAAAAATGTTGGTATTTCACTTCACCAGGATCAAAAACGATGGTTGTCACAGCTAACAACAAGCATGCGTCGCATTCGGGGTTAAAAATACACCAACGGGCAAGATTCATGATCACAAACAGGCTACTCTCCTGACTGTGTCCAACACCATGTCCGATACGTCATATGACTACAGAACAGACATGTGCAAAGCTCCTGCTCCTCCATTTTAAAGTCCACTCTTTCTGCCCATTTGATAGGATGTCTCAGATGAGGGACTTTGGAAAAAACTGCCCTACTTAACACGTGCACTCCTTCCTGTGTGTCTACTTCTAGCACTTCTACTCATTTAAGTAATTAAATGTTCATTTTACGCACCGGAGAAAGGGAGTCCTAACTTAATTTTTCTCCTTTTAAAAAGAGCTTTGTTTCTTTCCCCGCTTTTTTTTTATGGATTCTTCAAAACGTTACTGAGGTGTGCCAAAGCCCGTCTTTAGATGCAGGACTTCCTTTTCACTCAGAGAGGAGGCATGTGGTAACATTTGACTTAATTAAATCTAAACCAATATTTTCATAACATCCGTCAAGCTCTGCTTACTATTCATGTCCATGACCCAAAAAAAAAGAAGGGAGAGGAAATGAGAACATTTGGAGAGGTAAAAGCCTTCATGTAGCGTATGTACGGGGAGCCCCGTGGACTGACTAACCTGTAAACTCCAGGTTGGCTGCGTCCTCCAGAAGCTGCTCTTTCATGCTGCCCAGTGTCTCCACGATCATCTCCTTCATCTCTTCCTGTTTGCGGTTTGCGATGGCCATGAGAGAGTTGAAGAGTTCACCCTCTTTTTCACGGGTGTACTCAAGCCTGCGCGGAGTGATCTGCAAGTCCCTCTGCATGTCGAAGGCCTGCAGGTCAGCGCAGCACAGAGGACACGGGTCTGTTAGCCTTTCTGTGCGGGACGGCCAGCGTAAAAACATGCAGACCAAGCAATTCATGCAGCCATATTGGCCAATTAAGTCACAGGATGTTGACTGGGGCAGGAAAAAGACAAACACACAGACGACGGGCGCTAGGACACATCATAATCTTTATCATCATTTTCTGACCTGGTTGATGAAAAGATCTAAACAGCGACAGTGAAGCCCGTTGAGCAGGTTGGCGGCCTCCACCTGTTGGTTTTGGAGCACTTGGCGGGCAAATGGCACCAGCAGCCTGTGCATTCTCTCAAAAGATTCCCCGAGCATGCTTTGAGGCTTGGCACCCGGGATGGGCATCTGTGTGGGGGCGCCACACGAACAGTTTCCTGTTGGGCTGTTAACAAAGCCGAGCGAGAGCAGTTGCTTGTGGAGGGCGCTTTTCTCCCGCTCCACTCGGCGGCCGGGCTCTGGAGAGGCTGTGACTGTGGAGTCAGGGATACGTACAAAGCAGATGGGAAAAGAAAGCATCTGCTTGACCTTCCGGAGCTCAGCCACCTGCTCTGGCCCTATGGAGTCCTGGTTGATGGCATAGAGGATGACGGGAATGACGCTGCGCTTGCAGTCTTCCAGAGCCTCTTCGATGGGCTGGACGCTGGAGCAGGGCACCACCATGACCTTTGCTTCCTAAAAACGAAACACAACAAAAATTAAACTCACCTGCAAGATGGGCGATTGTGCAATCTCAAAAGCATCTCTCGATGGAATCGAACAACACAACACGACTCTGCAGTTCTAGTCCATGTTTAAGATTAACTCTGGCTCCACAAATTCCTCGTGGCAAGAAAACTCCCGTGTAAATATGCACAACTAAAAGGATGGATTAGAGCTACACCGCAGTGTGATAATAAGCCTGTCGTCAACCTTCTGGAGCTACTACGTCTGACTGGAGTCACTTCACCTCATTGAGCATGTACTAATAGTTCTGTTGACAATCACAGCCTTCTACATCACAAGATGTAACCTTGTTCCTGTGCAACCTATGATGAGGTCAACAAGTACGAGGGCTTTATCTTCAATCAGTCTCTGCTGTGGATCAAGTCTGTCTCCTGTTGAAAATCTGTACAATGAAGGCCTTTTCAGACATGAAACAGGCAACATTAATGGCTTCATCCATCTGTTAGAGCGGCATTCTTTTAAGTAGATTTTTATCATTGCTTCATTTGCCTGTAAAAGTGGTGGGAAGAGCCACAGTCCACATGCAGTATTCAACTACAGGATTGGACGGGACAGTACTGCGGAGTCACGACACCTCAGAAAGAGCCATACTGTCATGAAAGTTCCTACAAACATAAAGACATGAGGCAACAGTAACCAAAAATATCCCTTTCTTTTATTTTGAGGCTCACTGAACCATCAGTGTGATGCTTCTGAGAGTTTAACTTTCCACTAGCAGCATAAGTCAAGAAAAAAAAGGGAACCCATGTTGGTTTAAACCTGAACACATATTGCAAATAAACCATGTCTTTAGGTCTTATACCATACAATAACTGTCTTGACAAAGTTTTAAAATCACTTCATGGGCAAATATGGAAAAATTACAAGGGAAAACAAAATATCAGAAGCTCCCTCTAATTCTGTACAGTTAATGGTAAATAAATATTTGTGGTGGTCTGTGAATGTCTGTGTCGAGGCAGAAAAACAAGCAGACACACAAAAACGGTTTTCTTAACCCTTGATAAATAACAGCATTTGCAAAAATAGACTGGCTGATAGCTTGGGAGGGGGCTGTGATGAGGAAGACAGCCAGAGAAAAGAGGCAGAAATGACCAGCAGCCAAACAAAGGGGACAGTCAGTCCTGTCTCCAAGAAACAAGAGGCCAGCCCGCCTGAACTGTCTCTTTGGAACATGGATAGCCTGCAAACATTAGTTCATGAGCAGTCAAAATCAGAGCAGTTTGAATTGTAACACGTTTTTAATAACTCTTCAAAATAATTCCTGTGGGGTGGTTTAAAGTTGCTCCCGTGTTTCATTTAATCTTTTTTAATGACAGGCAGCACTCCTTTGATCAAGTTGGACAAAGCAGGACAGGCAAAGGCAAA